GAAATTGGCCTGGGCAGGCAGTGGGTATAAGTGCCCTGTAGGCTAGTGGTTAAAGTAGAAGTCCGGCCTAAAACTAACTATGCTTAAAAGCGCTCTTGCCCTTATACTAACTCCTATACTAACTACTTTGTAGACAGAAGATGCTTATATTTACCTATTCTCAGGTTGCTGCTGTCCAATCACGTGATCTCCCCAGTGAGCTTTACGGGAGTGGAGAGAGTGCTGGCAATGAGTGGACTGCATATACCGGGACATCACCCAAAGGCTTACTATAAGGCATCCATTGTCTGCTGTCCATCCTCTCACCCTGAAGCCAGCCGCTGGGTGCAGATCATGTGAGTGCACTGGAGCATCCTAAAAAATAGGTAAGCATAAACATCTTCCTTCTACAGGGTAGTTAGTATTGGTGTTTGAAGGGGTGTGGGGACAGTCTTAAGCTTGATTCCAACCTGGACCTATATTTTAATGATTTTACCATGCATTTATCTACACTGTATCTTTTTATGTAGACAGACTCTGGCTGGAGGCAGGGCTTTGCTTTCTCAGGTCAGAGCTGCCCACCAAAGACTGGTGATCTGATTACTGGTAGGGAAAACGTGAGAAACAGCAGGGGAGGTGCAGGAAGCACAGGTTCACAGAATGAGTGAAAATGAAGAGAAGCAGGTGGATGCTTATTTGCAGGTCAGCTACAGCTTTCTCTCCAGCAAAGAGAACAGTGAGCAGCACATTAGCGACATATTCAAATCTCACTTTAAATTTTCTGAGACTAACAGTCAGAGGCAGCAGTGCCCTAGATCTAACACTGCCAATACATACTGTAGCTATGAGGCTCAGGGTAGAGGAAGTGCTTTTTTTCTGAGGAATTTAAGATAAATGGTCCAGTTAGGCTCCATGTACACTGGCTTAAAAAAAACATTGCTCCTACAGGAGTTTAGCAATTTGCCTGTAGAAGCAACTAATGTTATCCTATGTGTCAATGGACATTAGGTAGTCTAAAGGCTTTTTCTAAGCTCAGTGTTGAAAGGCAGAAAAAAACCCTTCTGTTTTTTGTGTTTTTTTAATAGCGTTTTATGTCAGAAAAAAAGGTAAACACTAATACAAAAAAAAAAGCTCAGAATTAGTGTTTTTTTTTTTTTTTTTTTTTAAAGCCAGTGTGTATGAAGCCTAAGTTTCTGGCAAAATTAACTGTTTGAGATGTATATATTTAAATGTAACAAAACCAACACATGGTTTGATCCCTAGTGATTGCTAAAAAAAACTGAAGTATCAGTTGGCGTATAGAGTGCAACATTGCCCAGACTATGCATTAAAATATTCTGAATAGGCACTTTAAAGCAAAATTGACTATTTTAGCTTTTGGCATTGTGGAGAAATTCATCTTCAGGGCTTGTTCACACCAGCAAGAACTGAACACATGGCCACTGGTGTGCAATAGGAGAATCGCTGCCGCCCATCTTTTGTTGCTAGGGCTTTTATTTAAATGTCACAGATCACATTTCATTTAGTCCTATTCATTGCAGCGAGATTTTGATGCAGTGGTTCACATCACAACAAAGGTACTGAATGCAGCTCACAATAAAGCAACACAGCAATGTGAACTGACTTCATTGAAAACAAGGCAGATTGCCTTGTCTGTGCATTGGAACTTGGGCTGGCCCAACCTAAATGGTGTGAACAGTCCCTCTTCAGAGTTAACAGAAGCACTGAAATCACAGATCCTCTCCCATTAGCGGTCTTCTAATGTAAACAATACTGCAGGTGCTTGTAAGCTGCTTATTTTAGGGGATGACATACTTGAAAGTCCAAAGCTTATTTATTACTTGTTTAGAATATGCAAATACTATACATAGGCCCCGCGCACACTTTGTGTAGCGGGAGTTCACGTTCCCACTCACTATTTTGTGTGTGCAATTTTCATGTGATTCTGTGTTGTGCATAGGGCAGCCCATTCACTTGAACATTTGCTGTGGCAGAGAAGCTCAAGGACCAGAGTTTTTCCTGACCAGGTGCATTTTATACTTGCATTTTACCATGCGACAATAGTGACAAAATTGATCCGTACATTGTGTTGTGGCATGTTTTGCCGCGTTTCTAGAGTGGTTTGGAATTGTGGACAGATTCTGCCCAAGATTGTAAATCGTCTAAGTGTGAATGGGCCTTGGCCCTGGTTCACATTGTGTGTGTGAGTGCCGGAATTGCGGCACAAATTTTGCTGCTTTTACGAGACGTCAAAAAGACCATGCGATTTCCCTGTGGCCACGTCTTTTAAAAAGGTGCATGCACTCTTTTTTTTTTTTTTTTTTTTTTTTTTGGGGAAAAAGCAGGCATGGCAGCTCATTCACATGCATAGGCTGCTGTGTCCGTGCAAACGAGGGCTGCATGGCCTGCACATGTGTGAACCAGGGCTTAACGCTGAAGTGTTGTTTTTTGTTTTGTTTTTTTAAAGCCGATTTTAATTTAAAGAGAAAGTATGGACTTTATTAAAAAAATGTTTTTTGTACTCAACTAGGTGGATGCAGCAGGATCTGAAGCTGCATCTGTCCCCTGCCAGCTCTGCAATGAGAACTGACCAATCAAACACCACTGATTTGCTCCGGTTTTCCCCTCCATGCTGAGCAGAGAGCCATGACTGTCAGTCTCTGGCTCTGTGCTCTGCCCCTCCAGCGCTCACTGGAGCGCTAGGCTGTGAAGGGGGCGGGAGGGGCTGGCTCCAGTTCTTGACACTGTGGAGTGGCTGAGCTAGGTGCTGGTCCAGGCTTCTGGGTGGATTCCTACCATATGTACGGGATATTTTCAGAGTCTGGGCTGGCTCTGTCATGTCAGCCGACTGCAGACTTTAGCCGGCTATCGGCTGAAAATCGGTCACAGGAGTGCAGAATAAACTGGACTCCTGTGAGTCATAGAAGTATAGCCAAAAGAGCTTTGGCTATACTTCTCCTTTAGGGCTCTGTCACACAGACGGACTCTGCCAAGTGAATCTACCTGCTCAGCAAGGGATCTGTCCTCTGGTCCCCACTGAACAGGCAGATGACAGATCCGTGTCTGCTCTGCTTGTACAGAGCAGACATGGACACAGCCCACTGTTGTTTTTGGGGAAGTCGGATGTAAGTGGACCGTTTACACCTGACAGCCATCAGATCCGCTGGACAGAGGGGGAACGGATCCGTCTATTTTTAGCGGCTTGGATCGGATGCAGGCTGGTGTAAACACATGTAGCCCTATAGAGAACAAGGTCCGACCGGTCCACCTGAAAAACGGACAGGTGGACCCGATAAGTCCACCCGTGTGTAAGGGCCCATAAAGAATATTGTATACGTTTACACAATTGAAGCTGAAGTTTAGATAAAACCTTTTTTTTTTTTTTTTTTTCCACTGCTGCAGTTGCACAACTTGCCTGTAACAAATTGTGTCCTGCAAGCTGAAGGAATCTGATGTCTGATCCTCTTCACAGTTTTGACCTTCTGGTGCTACGGGTGTTAACGTGCAATGCATTTCAGAAGCTGCCAATGATGGACCTTATAAAATGTTTAATGAAACTTCAGCTTTAGATGTTCATAGTCTAGGCACAGGTGCACTTGAACCACAAAAAGCTTAATGCAGGTACAGTGGACCCCTTAGTGTTGAACTGCACATTTATTTACCTAGTGTTAAAGTGGAGCTCCAGTTGAACCTAAAAAAAAAATGTCTGCAGTTACTAAAACTGTAGCTGCTGACTTTTAAAAAAAACAGCCACTCACCTGTCCTACGATCGAGCAGTGTACTCACAGCAGCTGGTTTCACCGGCCATCCTCGCTCCCTGGTGCTGGCATCCTAAGTGTAGGCACCCGGCTGTGACAGCCTGCGGTTTCACAGCTGGGTGCCCATTGCACACGCACAAGTAGTGCTGCGTCTTGTGAATGGTTCTGTAGTTCTCTGGGACCTGTCGCGTGTCACAGAAAACTACAGGGAGGAAGGGAGAACGACATCCAATGGCTCCCGCTGCTGTCTCTGAGCCAACAAGGAGAGAGCCTGTGCTCTCATGCACATCTCTGGATTGAGATCGGGGTCAGGTAATATAAGGGGGCTGGAAAGTGCTGCACGCAGAAGTGTTCATTTTTTTTCTTTTTTTTTTTTTTTTTTTCTTTTTAACTTAAAGTGGTAGTACACTCAGATTCATTTTTGTTAACCTACAGGTAAGCTTTATAGTACAGCTTACCTGTAGGTAAAATGAATATCTTCAAAACGGGCACTGCTTAGGAGATATTCTAGTGAGCGGCAGCCGGTGAAGTTACCGCACTGTGTCGTGGCCATGACTCCTGTGTGCATGTGTGGGAATGATGACATTGTGGCTCAGCCATTCAAGCGGCTGCAGCCTGGGAAGCCAGAAGGAAGACTGGGTGAAGATGGAAGCCCTGTCAATTATTTTTTTTGCATAGGATGCATTAAAAAAAAAAAAAACACCTGCCTTCAGAACCACTTTAACTTTTAATACACCATAATGAGTGATTGACCATCCTGTATTCTTGCAGTAACATACTCATTGTTATCTGAGGTGTTTTTATGTTTCTGAATCCCTGAGATGTGTCCTCCGAGTTTATGTCCAATACCCTCCTAGACTGTAAGCTCCAAGGAGCAGGGCCCTCAACTCCCACTTGTATTGAACTGTTTTGTTACTGTATTGTCTCCCACTATAATGTAAAGCTCTGAGCAGACCGTTGGCGCTTTTTTTTTTTTTTTAGCCATATTGTAATGTACAGTACATGGTTTCTATAGTACCTGTACTAGTACGTTTCCCTGGCATGCTCATACACATTGTTTAGAGAAGGGTTGAACTTTGAAAATTTATAGTATATGTTCAAAGATCTGAGCCTGCATTCTGTTGAATCCAGTCTGCTTGTTTGGAATAATTTTCTAACAAGTTTTTTTGTGGATCTAACAGCCTGGAAGGATATAGATGTAAAGACCAATGCAACTTGTATATGCCTTGTTTTATTGTGATCATAACCTATATTTTTCTTTCATACTAAGGACGAAGAGGAAGAGATTAAACTGGAAATCAATATGCTGAAGAAATATTCTCATCACAGAAATATTGCCACTTACTATGGTGCTTTCATCAAAAAGAGCCCTCCCGGTCATGATGACCAGCTCTGGGTAAGCGCTTTTATTTAGGAATTTTTTAGACCTGTATATGGTGTCTTCTCTCTTCAAACTGTTCAGAGAAAAAAAAAAAAAGAGATCCATGCTGAAACCACTATATTTCTGCATTCAAAGCAGTGACAACGTAGGATGGGTCCCTTGTTCCGTGTAGTTGGAAGATGGACTACATCTGATTATCAAATTTCCCTTTTAAACAGAGTGTGTGAATGAGCCATTAAAATCGGGTTTGTGTGCGTTATAGATATGTGTTGACCGTATACACAGAGCCTTACATTCACTTCAATCCCTGCCCTCTTTGAGCTTACAATCTAAGGTCCTTGCCACACATACATAGATAATAGGGCCAACTTAGGAGCCAATTAACCTACTCACACATCTTTGGCGTTTTGGAAGGAAACCGTAGTATTCAGAGGAAATACATGCACAGGGAGACCATGCAAATTCAGTGTGGGTAGTGGTTCATCCCCTGGTTGGGAATTAAAATTACTAGTCAGAGGAAAAGCATGACTGCCAGGTAAACAGCATTATTAGGTGGTCTAGCAGTGACAGCCTTTTGGCAAGGATTTCATTTATTTCAAAAATATTTTGTTTATTGCAAACTAGCATTTTTGGAATGAGATCTGCAGTGATGGCTTGCAATTTTTATTAGGAAAGTTTTACTTGAAGCTTGCTGAAAACCTGACAGCTTATTTAAGTTACTGCAAACACTCCCCCATTAAAGGGGCAACTTTATAATAAAGAAAACAAATGTATTGTATTCTAATAACTGTATAGAATTAAAACTTGTACATTGTTTTTTAGTATTTGAATTCCTTTTTATTACATAGGCCTTAATGTATATTTCTTCCCCAGCTATACATGCAGGTCCAGCTGTCCAACAAAATTGACAGTACCTAGTGATGGGGCACACTTATGCAGGCCATACATGGGTTTTTAGTTGCTTATGGATGTCTGTCTATGTATCTACATGTCCTTCAAAGACTACCCTGTCCACAAGGGGATGAACGCTGCAGTGATTTCTTTGCAGGACGAACCTGTTACAGGAAGTGGAAATTCAACAGATCACCTTGCATGAGCTACAGACAATAAGGCTCCATGTACACTGCAGCTGATAAACTCACATTTAGGAGCTTTTCTGCATTTTTGTTTAGGAGCCCCTGAACTATCCCTAATGTTTTCCTATGTGTCTATGTACACTGTCATTTACAGGCAGTTGCGTTTACGGTCATTTTTTTGAACGCATTAAACTTCCATTCAGGAGTAGATTTTATCAGCATTTCAAACGCTTGTAAACACGGCTAACCGTTCCCTCTTCCATTTCCAGATGCTGTCCAGAGCCTTTTTTCATCATGAAAAATGCATGCAAAGCGTTTTCCTGGTACTCAAATGGGCCTGGTACACCATACTTTGAGGTTTTACATGAAATAAAATATGTTAAACACTGCTGCAATCATATCTGCACAGAAATGAGCTGGAACACATCCAAACACCACAAAAAAAAAAAAAAAAAGACCGCTAATCTCAACAAATACTGTGCTCTCTGCTTCTACTCTCTCTATTTCTTTCAAAATATCTGAAATAGTTAATTTTTTTACTGTTTTCAGTGCATTCTGGGCATTTTGGAAGGTCTCCTGAGGTTATCTTTAAAAAAATGCTTCTAAACGCAAACGCTCATAAACGCAGTATGCAAACGCGGCTAAACAGATGTTTTTTTAACCTACGTTTTTCAGCAGTCCGTTTCCATCGTTCAGAAGTGTCCCGTGTACATGGAGCCTTAAACTGTTGTGGGGGGAGAGAGGAATCCGAAAAGTGCAGCATAATAGCAATTTTGATTTTGCCCATAGTTCTAATTTAAGGCTCAACACACCCCACCTATGCTTTAGGGCAAGGGTCTGCAAACTATGGCTCTCCAGGTGTCAAGGAAGTGCAAGTCCCATGAGGCCTTGCAAGCCTCTGACAGCCACGGGCAAGACTCCCAGAGGCAAAGACATGATGGGACTTGTAGTACTTCAACAGCTGGAGGGCCATAGTTTGGAGATCCCTGCTTTAGGGGCTACAAGAAAATGGCTGTTTATGTAGGTATAGCAGATATTGGGGTTGGTTTACTAAAACTGGAGAGTGCAAAATCTGGTGCAGCTAGGGATGGTAGCCAATCTGCTTCTAAATTCATCTTGTTCAATAAAGCTTTCACATAAAAACCTGGAAACTGGTTGAGTGGTTTCTATGCAGAGCTGCACCAGATTTTGCCCTCTCTAGTTTTAGTAGATCAAGCCCATGGTAATCTATTTTTGTGTGTGGCAGCTTGGCAGCTCTAAATCTGTGAATGCACCAAGAGGCCTGGTTGCTTGACCTGAGCAACAGATGAATATCAGGTCTAAAGAACACTCAGGTATTCAGCATACCTTTTTAAACGTATGGGTGTTCTTCAGGATTGGTGTCCCCAGATCATTTTATAAAAACTCTGTGAAAAAAATTGCTCCCACACATCATGCCATGTGGTGATATGAGGCTGATTTACTGAAGTTGAGTTGGCTGTTCACTTTGAAAGGGAAGTTGCACTTTGTAAAGACTCTATTCCTAGAGCATAGAAAATGAGGTAAAGCTCTGCTGGCTTCCATCATACAATTTATTTGCAAGCAAGAATAAGTTTTATTTTTTATTTTTTTTTTTTATATATTGCAAAGTAAAATTTCACCGTTTTCACTAAGCTGTGGGGAACATTTCCTTGCAAAATTAACAACCGATATGTCTTGGTAGATCAACCCCTATGTGCCTTACAGCAGTGGGGTCCTCCGATTGTAGCCAAGCCAGGACACTATCTGCCTGGAGTTTACATGTTCTCCCTATGCTTGTGTGGGTCTCCTCAGGGTGCTCTGGTGTCCTCCCGCACTCCAAAGATGTTCTGGTAGGATGGTAGACTAATTGGTTCCTGTCTTAAATTATCCGTGTGCATGAGAAATGGGGGACCTTTTTATATTGTAAGCTTCTTAAAGTGTTACTAAACCTACACACATAAAATCAAGCATGCTTGTTGTACTTGCTGTGGAACCTAAGGGGTTAATCCTCTGAACAGAATAGAATTTCTGTAGTGATGTCATGTATTTGTATTGTGTTTTCAGATGGCTACTGTACTGTTTAACCACTTGCCCTCCAGAGGATTTACCCCCCTTCCTGACCAGGCCATTTTTTTGCGATATGGGCCTGCATTGCTCTAACTGACAATTGCGCGGTCATGCAATGCTGTACATAAATGAAATGTCATTCACCCCCCCCCCTTTCACAAATAGAGCTTTCTTTTGGTGGTATTTTTTATTACCTGTGCATTTTTTTCATATTTTGTGCTTTAAACAAAAAAATTAATCATTTTGAAAAATACAATATTTTGGACATTTTGCTATAAAACCTCAAATATAAAGTAAGAAAATCAAATTTCTTCATACATTTAGGCCAAAATGTATTCTGCTAAATGTCGTTGCTTAAAAGAAAAAAAAAATTGACATTTGTATATTGGTTTACGTGAAAGTTATAGCGTGTACAAATGTCTGTGTGTGTGTGCTTTATTTATATTATATATATATATATATATATATATATATATATATATATATATATATATATGAGTGTGTTTCTATTTCATTCTAGTACCCCCAGTGACACGAATACAGTGATCAGTGCTAGTAAAAAGCACTGACACTGTACTAATGGCACTGGGCAGGGAGGGGTTAACATCTGGGGCAATGAAAGGGTTAACAGTGTGCTGTGTGTGTTTTTACATTGTGTACTGTTGTACTTGGGAGACATGTTGCTTTGTATCTCTATGCTGTGCAGAGAGATACAAAACAACATGTCCCATGCTGACAGAGTTTACACACAGGTCTCTCCCCTCTCAGCTTTGCTGCCGATCAGAGTGCCAGGCTGGAATCTCCGGTCAGGGCCAGGTGATTGACATCCCCAGCCGTCAATAGTGGCGTGTGTAGGGTGGCACACTCCCCCCTACCCATAATGGCAAATCGTGTATGTATATACACGTGATTTTGCACAGCCGAGCCGCTCTGTAGCAGTACTTCTGCTATAGGGCGGATGGCAAGTGGTTTAAAAAAAAATCGTATGATCTGCTATTCTACGAGAAAAATGTTCAAGCTTCTCCCTTCGGTTATTGTCACGTAAACTGTCTTGAAAGCTGCATCCTAACAATCACATTATCTTACGATTGCTCCTTGTGCAAATTTTTCACATGATTTTTCTTATTGTGTGTGTACGGACCTTATGTTCAGTCCTAGCTAGACCTTCCCTGTCTCTTCTGTGTTACCACAGTCTGTGATAATACTTTGCAGAAATCAGGCTTTAGTGTGTTACTAAACCCACAACCGTAAAATCAGTCTGCAAATGCAGTAAAGCATGCTTGTTATACTCACTGTGGAACTTAAGGGGTTAATCCTCAGCATTGTGTTAGTAGGATGTTTGATCCTGTCTTTGATCCTCCCCTTCTTCCAGTGTCCCCAATCCATCTGCTGATAGAGCAGAGCCTTGGGGGCAAGCTGCACATGTTCAGTTTGGTGTGTATTGCAAGAGTGTTCTTTTTGTTTGTTTTTTGGGGTTTTTGTTCCCTTTTTGGGAGGGTGCATGTGATCAGCACATGGCCAATCAGCACTTTCCAGACAGAGGGTCAGGGTTTTGCAGCCTCATAGGACAATCAGGGGAGAATGTAAACTTTCCCTACAAGCTTTAACCAGTGCTCTGCTGGACACTAAAAGAAGTCACAAGACTGCTCTAACTACTGATGAGAGAGGTATTTAGCAGTTTATATTTACTAATATGATTGCATTTCCATGTTCTGTGTAATGTGGGAGGAAAGATGTAGTGAATGCAGGGTCCTGGGTTTAACACTTTGTTTTTGCACTTTCAAAGACTGGAAAACATCCTCCTGTACTGAAAATATCTGAAGTCAACTTGCATGAACTCGACTTCTGTGTTTTTTGTAAAAAGATAGGGTTAATTCATTCTGCAGTAACATTTATTTTACTGCACTGTAAATGCCTGTCACTGCAAGGACACGCAGAAAACAATTGTTTCTTGTGTGTTCCATTCATACTGCAACGCAGCCCGGAGCTGCACTGCAGCATGCTGCAATAAAGTGCAGACATGCTGCACTTTATTGCAGCACACTGTACAGAATTGCATGGCTGCTATACAGCTTCATGAATGAAGTGTACATTTTGCACACTTCAAGTAATGCTTGTCCAAAAAAAAAAAAAAAAAAAAAAAAAGGGAGCAGTGTGATGTGCTGAACCTGGCCAGTAGTACGGTGGAGAGTGCTCTGGCAGCTGTTCAATCTAGTGTGAGGCCAGACAGCTGCTTGTGGATGGTGCCAAGTCAGCAGGTGACCAAACTGCCCAGATAGGCTGGGTCTAAGGAGGTACGTCAATGCAGATGGCATTCAAAGCGGAACAAGGATTTTTGATTTTGTTTAAGCGCCTCCTCATACCTTCCAATGCTTCAGAGGAAAGACTTTGTGATTTCCATTTGGCCACCTCACTGTACATTGATTATTTATTGCCTGTTAACCACTTGCCCCCCTGAGGATTTACACCCCTCCCCCCCTTCCTGACCAGGCATTTTTTGAGTTATGTCGCTGTGTTCCTTTAACTGACAATTGCGCGGTTATGCAATGCTGCACCCAAATGAAATTTAAGTTTTTGTTTTCCAACGAATTGCTTTCTTTTGATGGTATTTGATCGCCTGTGCGCTTTTATTTTTTGCGCTATAAAAAAAAGACTGACAATTTTGAGGAAAAAAAACAATATTTGTCTTTTTTTCTATTAAATATGTCTAGTAAAAAAAATTAAAAAACAAATTTCATTATAAATTTAGGCCAAAATGTATTCTGCTACATGTCTTTGCTTAAAAAAAAAAAAAAAAAAATCCAAATATTTATAAATTAATTGGTTTACGTGAAAGTTATAGCGTTTACAAATGGCGGTATAGATACTGGAGTTTTTTTTTTTTTTTTTTTTTTTTTTTACTAGTAGTGGCAGCGATCAGCGACTTGTAGCGGGACTGCAGCGGGCATTCTGACACTGGGGAGGGGGGCGGGGGGGACTGACTTGGTGTCACTGACATCCCCAGTGACACAAATACAGTGATCACTTAAAAAAAAAAAAAAAAAAAAAAAGCACTGACCCTGTACTGAGGGCACTAGGCAGGAAGGGGTTAACATGAGGGGCGATCAAAGGGTTAACTGCGTGCTGTTTTACTTGTGTCTGTGTGTGTGTGCTTTGCTTTGTAATCCCACTGCTTTGCATGGCTGTTCTGTGCACAGCCATCCAAAGCAGTGTGCATGAGCTGACAGGGAGGAGAACTGTATTGTTTACATACAGTTCTCCTCCCCGTCGGAGATGTTCGGCAATCAGTGAATCAGTGCGCGCCAGCGAGTAGTCACTGGCCGGGACCCGGTGATTGACAGCCACCGCCACAAATGGTGTTGCAGGTAGGGTGCGCCCTCTACCCGGAAATGCAAAATCGTGTGTGTGTATATGTATATATACAGTCATGGCCGAAATTGTTGGCACCCTTGATATTTCTCCAGGAAATCATGTATTTCTCACGAAACGTATTGCATTAACACATGTTTTGCTATACACATGTTTATTCCCTTTGTGTGTATTGGGACAAAACAAAAAAAAAAGGGAGGAAAGAAAGCAAATTCGACATAATGTCACACAAACCTCCAAAAATGGGCTGGACAAAAGTATTGGCACCCTTTCACAACTGCGGATAAATAAGAATGTTACAAGCATGTGATGCTCCTGTAAACTCACCTGGGGCAAGTAACAGGTGTGGGCAATATAGAAATCACACCTGAAAGCAGATAAAAAGGAGAGACGTTCACTTAACCTTTGCATTGTGTGTCTGTCTGTGCCACACTAAGCATGGACAACAGAAAGAGGAGACGAGAACTGTCTGAGGACCTGAGAACCAAAATTGTGGCAAAATATCAACAATCTCAAGGTTACAAGTCCATCTCCAGAGAACTAGATTTGCCTTTGTCCACAGTGCGCAACATTATCAAGAAGTTTGCAACCCATGGCACTGTAGCTAATCTCCCTGGTCGTGGACGGATGAGGAAAATTGATGAAAGATTGCAACGCAGAATAGTCCGGATGGTGGATAAGCAGCCCCAAACATGTTCCAAAGACATTCAAGCTGTCCTGCAGGCTCAGGGAGCATCAGTGTCAGCGCGAACTATCCGTCGACATTTAAATGAAATGAAACGCTATGGCAGGAGACCCAGGAGGACCCCACTGCTGACACAGAGACATAAAAAAGCAAGACTACAGTTTGCCAAAATGTACTTGAGTAAGCCAAAAGCCTTCTGGGAAAACGTCTTGTGGACAGATGAGACCAAGATAGAGCTTTTCGGTAAAGCACATCATTCTACTGTTTACCGAAAACGGAATGAGGCCTACAAAGAACAAAACACAGTACCTACGGTAAAATATGGTGGAGGTTCAATGATGTTTTGGGGTTGTTTTGCTGCCTCTGGCACTGGGTGCCTTGACTGTGTGCAAGGCATCATGAAATCTGAGGATTACCAAAGGATTTTGGGTCGCACTGTAGGGCCCAGTGTCAGAAAGCTGGGTTTGCGTCCAAGATCCTGGGTCTTCCAGCAGGACAATGACCCCAAACATACGTCAAAAAGCACTCAGAAATGGATGGCAAAGAAGCGCTGGAGAGTTCTGAAGTGGCCAGCAATGAGCCCAGATCTAAATCCCATTGAACACCTGTGTGGAGAGATCTTAAAATTGCTGTTGGGAAAAGGTGTCCTTCCAATAAGAGAGACCTGGAGCTGTTTGCAAAGGAAGAGTGGTCCAAAATTCCGGGTGAGAGGTGTCAGAAGCTTATTGATGGTTATAGGAAGCGACTGATTTCAGTTATGTTTTCCAAAGGGTGTGCAACCAAATATTAAGTTAAGGGTGCCAATACTTTTGTCCAGCCCATTTTTGGGGTTTTGTGTGACATTATGTCATATTTGCTTTTCTGCCTCTGTTTTATATTTGTTCCAATACATACAAAGGGAATAAACATGTGTATAGCAAAACATGTGTTAATGCAATACCTTTTTTGTGTGAAATACTTGATTTTCAGGAAAAATATCAAGGGTGCCAACAATTTCGGCCATGACTGTATGTATGTGTGTGTGTATGTGTGTGTGTGTATGTGTATATATATATATATATATAATGTGTGTGTGATTTTGCGCACCCGTGCCACCCTGTGGCAGTATATCTGCTATAGGGCGATCAGGAAGCGGTTAATGAAAGACCAAAACATTCAACATTTGCCCATGTTGGCAGTGCCCCATCACTAATTGATATGACTAACAGTGCTTTTTTTCATCCAGTGTACTAATGATCAAGGCACGCTGGTATCTTATAAGACTCCGTAGTGTGCTGTGGTTAGTTTTGTACAAACATTGGGGAGTTTTGTGCTGTTTTTCAAAAATAGAAATCTTTAATCTAGTTAATTAGTGGTGCCTTAAGCACATCTGATTGCTCACACCACTTAGACCAATCACCTTAGTGCAAAATGTAGAAATCTGTGGTTTAATATGTACAGTTTTATTTGAATATCAAAACAGAATTGATTTTAGTGTTTGTAAATCCTACCATAGGCTTCTCTCCTTTCTGAGGCATGACAAAGCAGCTAACGAGCATTTTAGTATAAAAATGTCCTTTCATTACCATTATGCAGTGCTGATATTTCTTTGTTCCACAGCTTGTAATGGAGTTTTGTGGTGCTGGCTCGATCACTGACCTGGTGAAGAATACAAAGGGGAATAGTCTAAAAGAAGACTGGATTGCTTATATCTCTCGTGAAATCTTGAGGGTGAGAATGAAGTGCTCTTTTCTCTGTGCAGTGCTACTGTTATGTCATGAAATATTAATCAGCTGATTGAACCTTGTGCTAGTGCTGACAGGGAATCCTTTTTCTCTGGGCTTCTGACGTCACAGGATTTCCAGTTAGCAGCATGCAAAGTTGCTCATAGCATGAAAATAAATTTTCAGTTAAAATATAGCTAAATGCCAAACACATTACCCAAGTTATCATTACTGCAAATTTATTATTGGATTACGCATTTCCTTCTATGGCTCCATTTGCTAATTGAAATAGATTGATGCACAGCACGTATGAATTCACGTGAGAGCATAAACTACCACCGTAGAGGGTAGTCTTTGGTTGTCATTACATTGGCTGTGTCTAACCTGTCACTTTCTTGCTGTTAAATAACAATACCCTGGCCAGTTAGTCTGTTAGCACCTGCTCATAAATGTACAGTTATTAGGTCTCCGTGAGCAGCAAGAGACAGCCATACAGGGCTTGCTTTTTTGGTATTGATTACAATATAATCAGTTCCAACATCAATAGCATTCATTAAAAATAGTTTAAAGCTGAACCCCAGGCAATAAGCCTAATACATAATTGAAATGTAAGCTGCCTTTTTAAAAGATTAGAAATGCTGTCCAACTGTTTGTGGTTCCATACACCTCTGCCACAGATTGGCCTTGTCCAGTCTGAGTGCTGCTGCAGCTAAACAAAACAGCCTGACTTAAAGTATAACTGAAGGCAAAACCTTTTTTTTTTTTTTTTTTTTTTATTTTTTTTTTTAATAAAGTAGAGTAGATAGTGGTGACGGTTTGGTTAAGACAGGGGTGTCCAAAACTATGGCCCTCCAGCTGTCGAAGTACTAGAAGTCCCATCATGCCTCTGGGTTTCTTGCCTGTGGATGTCAGTCTTGCACCCTGTGGATGTCAGTCTTGCAAAGGCCTTGGGACTTGCAGTTCCTCAACACCTGGAGGGCCATAGTTTGGACACCCCTGGGTTAAGACGTCTGTCAGGTTTTTATTGTCTCTGTCCCTATTAGGGAGTTTCACCCACTCGATTTGTCCTATTTATCTTTATCACCAAAATGAAAAGAAAATCCCAAATTTTGGGTTATCCCCAGTCATAGAGGTGAAATCTTCCAGTGGGGATACTAGTTCTGGTGACCCTGAGGACAACCCAGAATTCCCTCACTTTGAAGGCATTTCCTCTGACTTCTGTCTTGACTATGGGACAGGATGTGAGGAGAAAGCAGCAGCAGCAGCAGCAGTTCTTTAAAGAAGGGACAGGTTATATGATAGTGAATGAGATATCTGTGGATGGTAATAAAGAAAAGTATTTTTGAACACTTTGAATTGCTCTCTTTTATAATTGATGACCGTTCACACTGCCTACCATAAAGAGAAAAAAATATCAAGAGCTCTACAATCGCAGGTGGTCTTTTAATCATGTAACTAAAACCTGAAACCCCAAACCTGCAAGTTTTTTTTGCTGTGTGCACGTGCTCAAATAGAATATAAACTATTTTGTGTGACCCAACACATGTCATGGCATAAGTGGCCTATGGCGTGTGGGAGCTAGCAGACATGCTCTTTTAGGATAGCAGTTTGTCCGTGTTAGAATAATTTTTTTTTTTTTTCCTTTATGACAATGTTATTGTTGAATGTTTGTTCCCTCCCTTTCATCGAGGAAACCTACACAGTCCTACTATGGGTGTTTCACAAATAAACCCCCCCCCCAAAAAGATCCTACAGTAGTATCATATCCCATTGTCCAGCTGCCATCTACTGTTTGCTGCTAGCTCTTGAGAGATTTAGTAGCTGTGATCAGCAGTTAGCTCTCATAAATTATTCGTTTGAACCATCAAAGGTAATTGTGACCTTTCTTTGTCTTGCCGTTTTACACCTACGTAATGTGGTTTTAGTCTACTGGTTCATCACGCTGATTGCAAAAATGCATTCCGTTATAAAACAAAAACAGAATAAGGTTCCACTTTAGACAAAGGTGAATAACTCATCTCCTCTTCTTTCTAGCGGATCATTTTATTACAACGTCTCAGCAAGGCAATGTATCTTTTCTTCAAACAAGCTATAAACTTACTTTGGTATTACTCACATGATTTTATTTCTTTTTGTGTTTAGGGTTTGGCACATCTCCATGCTCACCACGTGATTCACAGAGATATTAAAGGACAGAATGTGCTGCTAACCGAGAATGCAGAGGTGAAGCTCGGTAAGTGATAGAATACAGTTCTTTATTGAACTAGCCAAGGGGCCTAAAAAAAAGTCATGTTGGGAATTTTCTAATGATCAGATTATTATTATTATTATGTTACGAAAGGTGAACCTATCCTTTAAACAATGTTGCATATGGAGCGCTGTGGTAGTTCATTCATTCTTCCTTTCAGTATATCTGCTTGCTCGTATATATCCCGTAAGCAGATATACTTGCAGATCTGCAGGAGGCCTGCGTGGCAAATCTTTATAGATTCCTGCAGACAAAAATAATGTAAATTTTTTTTTTACCAAAAAATGTGTATTTATAATTTTTTTTACTAAAAGGTGAACTTCTCCTTTTTAATAATTGCCTAAAGTTAATCATAGACCTGAGATCAACTGCTCAGGCTGCCATTTTTGCATGTTAAGTCTTTGAGCCTTGTGTTTCTTAGAGGGAACAGTTCATTGGGTGGGTTAGGCAATCTGTCCCATGCACTATTGTTCCTATATGTGATGTGGTCCCAGTAGAAATTGTAGTTTCCTCTATTTCTCCACTTCATTCACGTAACCATGTTTAAGTGTGTGCTGCAAGAGTGACTGGCTCATGTGTGGGAACTTTAAAGTGGTTGTAAAGGCAAGACATTTTTTACCTTAACGCATTCCCTGCATTAAAGTAAAAAAGTTCCCTTAGTTGCATCACCTCCCCCCAACCCTCCCTGTATGCTCGATCAAGCACTGTGCCATATACAGTGGCACTGGTCTGGGCATTGACTCCTCCTTCTGTCATTCAAATCCTGTAAGGAGGGATTCTGTGGAAGCAGCCACGTATGTCCCCTTAGCACACATTGAAGATGAGGAGTCGAGAGCGTTGGCTTGGGACCCCAGAAAAGGAGGTTCAGAGCTGCTGTGTGCAGTACCATTGCACAGAGGAGGTAAACCTACCATGTTGATTTTAGAATAAAAAATTAGACCTTTACAACCACTTTAAGCTTGGGTTCATAGGTTCACACAAGTGATGTCACATAATCATACGTTTTTCAGTGAATTTGTGTGTATTTTCATGTTTTTCATTCCTTTTTTTTTTTTTTTTTTTTTTTAGAAAGGTTAGATTGGTTTTGAGTACAAAACCCTCCAAAAATGCATATACAGGCTTTTTTCATTCACTCCTGTTGAGGTCTTTGGGGCCAAAAGATGCATCTGCAACTTTTCAAAAAAGGCACTGTACTATGTTGCATTGACATGAATGGGCACTATAGAGGACAATGTTTTCCATAGTCAAGTGTTGCAGCACAATGGCAGACACAGAAGTTGCACTAGTGTGGCTGTGTGGCATACTTGCTGTGAGGAGCAGTAGCTTATCCCTAGATTGGCTATAGTGTGTGTGGTTGTGGTAGGGAATTAGACTGTAAACACTCCTTACGGGGGTATAGATCTAGAATCTTATATATGGCTTTGGCAAATAAAAACAAAATTAAACCTCAAGCCCTTGTGCACACTGCAGCTCACAAAAGCTGCTTCTTCAAGTATTTGAGCTTTAATTATTCTCTGCTCAGGAGTTCAGTGGCAGGGGAGTTTACAGGCATATCTGTGCCGAGTATTTCCACAAATACACGCACTTGTGAAAATGCTCCCGATACCGGAAACCTATCAAAAACGTATGCAGTTTCCCCACTGCTCATGTGTGAACCCAGGCTTGTCATAGCCTGACTTCACAGGAGCAGTGCGGGAAACATCCCTGCATCGATCCCATGCTGAATGAAGAGTGGGAGAGAAGGGCATGTGGGGATGTACACCTTGGTGGCAGATGCTCCAGATTCTCACCTGTAGGAGAGGAGAGAGCCAATCAGAAACCACCTAGACCGTAATGTCATGCCTGCAAGGAGAGGAGAGAAAGCCGCTGGGATTTCAAATCCCCAGACCTGTGAAGCGGCCTTCTCTCCTCTCCTTGTAGGGATGACAGTTCAAGCTAGAGGGCTTCACATGGATGGTGCTGACCAATCAAAAGCCCTGTACCCTAAACTGTCATCCATGCCAGGAGAGGAGAGAGCCGCTGGGGTTTCAAACCCCAGCTGCTTTCTCTCCTCTCCTACAGTGGAGAATATGGAGTGTGTGCATCCATCTGCCACCAAGATACTGTATACATCCCACATGCCCTTCTCTCCCACTCTCTGCTGCAGGAAGCCTCCCTGCACCGCTCCTGTGTGTACTAAGGCTATTACAAGCCTGGGTTCACAGAGGAGCAGTGGTGAAACCGCATGTGATTTGGGCAGGAATTACATTCCTGTTCAAATCGCATGCTATTTTTTTCGGTGCAATGTGCATCCATACAGTTTGTATTGACGCAAATTGCATCGCAAAGTATCGGTACTCTGTATCAGTGAGTACTTGACCGAAAGCATCAGTACTCGTACTCGACGATCTAAAAAGGGTATTGGTACATCCCTAATAAAAAACTGTTTAAAAGCATATCAACATGCGTTAACACTAGGTGCTTTAATGTGCATTCCTGCGTCAATGCAGTCTAATGGCCAGAATTCTGGCCAATACAATGCATTTAATGCCAGATGGGGGAATGCACATTAACTCCCACTTAAAAGTGTGGCTTTTTACCACATTTTTGATGCTGTAAACACCTGTTATGAGAAGAAATGTTTATAAGCTCATAGTATGCATGAGGCCTCTAGGTTGCTTTTGTATTAACTTTAAAACCTTAATGTCAAATAAACAGATGAATTCTTGCAGAGGAGAACCACTGCTAAATTAATTTGTAGACATCACACTAATCTCAATTTTGTGTGGAATTGTTCCTTAAGGTAAACATGAAGGCTTCACATAAATATATGCTGAAAAAGCAGTACAGTGGTGCAAAATGATATTGATTTAGTGTCATCATAAGGATCTCTAATGAGCTTTCTGAAGACTTTACAACTTATAGATTTGCTGACAATGCAGCCTTTAATTAGATGTGTTTTTTGAAGTTGTCAACGTGTTCTACTCATTCTTTCTCTGCAGTGGATTTTGGTGTCAGTGCACAGCTGGACAGGACAGTTGGTCGAAGGAATACTTTTATTGGTACACCATATTGGATGGCCCCTGAAGTTATAGCTTGTGATGAGAATCCAGATGCCACGTATGATTACAGGGTATGTACATTTTTTTGCAGCGCTTAGTCTTCACTAAAGCCAATTTTTTTATAGTTTTGGCTAGAGTGAAGTTCAATTAGAACACCTGTTAGTATTTATTGCTGTTCCTAAGAGAGAGATTCATCCTTTCACTTTCGATGAGAATGGTAAACAGGTCAAATAGTAAAAGAACATACCTAATTTTGTGTTGACACCATAACAGTAGTAGAGGGGGAATTTTTGAAGGGGACACTATTTCTGGTGACCCTGTTGACACCCCCAGGATTCCCTCACATTGGAGGGATTTTCTGTTTTCCTGTTTGGATTATGGTATGGAAAGTGAAGGGAAGTCTTCCCAAAGGGAATGGCAAAAAAATCACAGGCATTATATCCCTCCCTTACCATATCCAAATTGAAAAACATAATTTTTCCTTTATCTCTACTTTAAGTTTCTGTCCCAATTTTACCCCCTTTTTAAAGTGTAATGCAACCCTCCTATCCTTTACAGTCATGGAATCTGCCATCTTAGCCTCTGTTTGATCTGCGGTTCCCTTGACGCTACACATGTGGTCAGTTACAACACCAGCTATTTGATGGGTTGACAGGTTGAAAGCACACTGTGACCTTTGTCAATCATGGCATGCTTTTGATTGCACTTGTTTTGGGAAACCTGTTAAATCTATGGGTTTAGTTTTAGTTATAATAAAAAGTCATAAAATATCATCATTTTAATGATGCATAGTGGTTGATATAGGTTTCTGTAATATGCACATTATTATTTTATTTCCTGAACAACCCCACATGCAATAGCACTTTTTATTATGCAGACATATATCTTGTTCATTTTTGCAGAGTGATCTTTGGTCCTGTGGTATTACAGCTATTGAGATGGCAGAAGGGGCTCCCCGTAAGTGCTCTTCATTTTCAGTTTTTTTAAATCTAGTTTGCCCTAGTTTTACAATAAACTGCAAATATTACATATAATATGTATTCCTTTTCAGCTCTTTGTGACATGCATCCTATGAGAGCACTGTTCCTTATTCCCAGAAATCCACCTCCTCGGCTAAAATCAAAGAAATGGTGAGTTTTTTTGGTCATTAATATGTTCTGTCTACTGCTAATAAAATATGTTTGTTTTCATTATAAAATGTAATGTTACAGATAATGTATAGAATTTTTTTTTTTTTTTTTTTTTTACTGTAGCTTTTGGCTAGAAACCCAATGCGTACCATATAGTATCCACAGTTTAATTTGTGTATTTAAAATTGTGGTAGTAATTCAAGGTTGGATTTCCCCATAACCACTACCAGGGGGGTACTAAGTTGGCAGAGTCTGCACACTTTTACAGACCTCTGGTTGTCATTTCCTGCTGACACTTATGGGTCCATTAGCAATGTCACTTTGGTTTCTCTTGCTGATCCATTTTAGCTAAGGTTGGTGGTGAAAACCACAGAGCAAACAGCAACAGGGGGCGTGCTATTTGACATAGACATGTTGTATAGGATCGGCATCTAGAGCGCTGCACGAGGATTAAGACTTCACTTACCACCTGCTGGTCAGGTAAGTAGATAACTTATTCTTTTTCAGGAGATCGTTGATGGATTTTGAAGCTAGCAGGTGCACTTTGAAGTACTTGGAACTACTTGATTTCAGAATAACATAACCCTGATTTATGTTGTAAAAGGAAAAAAAAAAACTTTGTTTTGGGGAAAACGCCTACTGAAATATGGAGTTTGCCACTGCTAAATACTTTATTAAACTGCTAATTGCATGTCACGATTCAGTACCATTGACTTTAAACAACTATGCAGAAAAGGTGTTACAACGCAAAGCCAGAGACCAGAAACTAGCAATAGGTTGGCAAACCATTAGTTTTGGCATGCTATGATACAGGCTTCAATAGTACACTTGACTTCCAATGACAGAGCATGTTGGACACAAACAGCAATTTATTCCTTATCTTTTGTTTGGGAAATTTATATATTCACTAGCCCCCAACATCAACTGAGAAAAATTGTAAAATGTGTTTTTTTTTTTTTTTTTTTTTTTTTTTTTTTAACCAATGTTTTTTTTTCTTTCATAGTTCAAACCATCAGAGTTTGAATTTTATTTTGGTTTGTCCTTTCACTTTTACAGGTCAAAGAAGTTTTTTAGTTTTATTGAAAGCTGTCTGGTTAAAAATTACGTGCAACGCCCTCCAACAGAACAGCTGTTAAAACATCCATTTATAAGAGACCAGCCTAATGAGCGACAAGTCCGTATCCAGCTGAAAGACCACATAGATAGGACCAGGAAGAAGAGAGGGGAGAAAGGTGGGTGGCTTACTTTCCCTTTAAAACTTTTAATTACTAATAACAGTGCTTGCTTTCTCGACTGATAAGATGAATGATGTGTGCTTAAAGTGGTTCTAAACGCAAAATATTTTTTTACCTTAACACATTAAGGTAAAGAACTCCCCACTACCTAATCTACCCACCCCTATTCCTAAACTTTTACCTGACCAAGTCACTGATCCAGCACTGTCCTGGCTGCAGCACCGCTTCTCTCATATCATGGTTTCACAGGAAACGCTGAAAGCACTGGGAGCCATAGGCCATCAGTCAAACTCCTCTGAGGAGGGAGCGGTGGTGTTGTTGCTTATTGGCGCTGTGTGCGCCTGTGGATGCTCACAACCCAGCTTAGAAGCATGCTCACATGGGTGCTCCCTTAGCACCTGGCTTGCTGAAGGGGCACTTGGAGGAAGGAGGAGTGGACATGTCCAGCTGGGAACTGAAAAAGGAGGTAAGGGACTGCTCTGTACAATATCATTGCACAGATCAGGTAAATAGAACATACTTTTTTTTTTTTTATTAAATTAAAATAAAAACGAACCTTTTACTATAACTCTATCACCCCCAATAATATATGAAGAGAACTTATAGGATAAGTTCACCTTTTAACAAAAAATAATCCATGCACGTTTTTTTGCAGGTAAAAATATGTGCATTTCTAATTTTTTGTTTCTTGAGCCTCTAAAGCATGGCACCAGCGATCAGGAGCTCGCTGGTGCCATGCTTAAGAGCGCCATGGTAGGTCACTGAGAACTACAAGCCGACAGCCACAAAGGCTGTCGCAACTTGTGGTGAGTGACGTTGGCGCAACCCCCGCCAGGTGGGTTTTTTTTTTTTTTTTTTTAAAATGGTGTCTGCTAGATGGGGAGAGAAGATCCTCCGCTAGCTGTTATAACGAGGAGTGGGGTCTGGTCCGTTCTCAACATGTTACACCCTCAATTATGGGTGTAATAAGTTACAAAAGGTGAACTTACCCTTTCAAATGGAGTCTGGGGACAAGCCTGGGATAGTTTGCTTTAAAGAAGGAAAAAAAGCATTTAAGCACCTGTACGTCTAGCGTGTATTTTTATAGTTGCATAACTTGTTATGTTTACCAGAAATTGCATTCAAAAATTGTCCAGATTTAAGATTTCATAAGAGATTCATAACCCCAAAAAACCAAGGAGTATACATAGTATGTTGTAAATCGCAAAGTTATTTTGATATGACTATATAATAAATCATATAAATGTTTTTTAGTTGTTTAAGTATGTGGTTTCTGTGCAATAAATATGCAATGTACAATTAATTGTCAAAAGGCTTCTTGGTTTGACTTCAGCTGATGCATATTTTACTTTGGTCTGTAAGACAGGTATTTGTGTGTTGAGGGTGTTTCTGACCACATAAACATATGAAAATTGTATTTACTTTTTCCCAATTGTGAATACAACATCATATAGAAGAGCTATGCATATATACAATTATTATGAAAATAAGCAGCACTATTTAGTGCAGATTGATTATCTTGACATTCGTTCAGATGTTTTTGATCTAAATCATTCTAGCCTAAATAAAGAAATAGAATATTGTCAAACTATTCCCATATATTTCAGGCTTACCTTTGATCCTTTACTGAATACTGATATCTGATTTATACCTGCAAGTTATACACAGGTATATTGGCTTCTTTAAAGCCGGATGGGATCTATTTATCTTCAGGTAGAAGAGTGTATATAATATTTGTAGACCTCCAGGGTCATCTACTTCAGCAATTGAAGATAAAGCTGTAAGCTTAGTAGGAAACTGTAGTCACAGAAAATTGGGATAATCTATAAATGCAAATGTTATGATTGTTGTACACGTTACTGAATTATTTGATGAATAACCAAATGCATTTGACCCTAGGCAATGTGGGCAAAATAATTAGCAACAGGTGACCCAAAATAGTTTTTGACTAATAAAGTTAAAGTTTTTCTGAAAGTTTTCTGCTCACTTTTCTGTCTCATTTAGATGAAACAGAGTATGAATACAGTGGAAGTGAAGAGGAGGAAGAGGAAGTGCCTGAGCAGGAAGGAGAGCCAAGGTATGTCTGTGTTGATGCACATCATGATACTTGTGCTGTAGGAAAAAAAAAATGCTGTCTTCACCCATTCATCTTAGGATGCCCTGTTATCATTCATCTTTGGGTATTTAGAGAAAACCTTGTCTATAATGACAACAAACCCATGCTCTGCTTATTTAGGACCATGCAACGGGTTTGCTTGAATCCCTCCCCTCTTTAGTCCTAGAAGCGTGTACTCACCAGTCCTTCATTCCCTCAGTGCCAAAACAAATACCTTGTACTGCCTGGTGAGAAGAAGCGTGTAGCTCACCCACATGACATAGCTGAGCCAGTCAGTCCTTAGCACTTGTCAGCTACGTTTCCAGAGACTTGTAGTTTGCACGAGTTGGAAAAATAGTAACTTTATCAATATTCTACAATTTTCAGGCATGCTGATTGAAATGCCTAATATGCTGTGTGCGAACCAGTCACAAGATTTTGTTAAAAAATCTTCATATCTAAAGAACCACAGTACTGAAAATATTTGGCTAAAAAATATTTTTTTCTGTACTATTGAAGACTTTACTTTTTGTACTGTTATCATCCAGTTGGCATACCTACTGTGTATCTGAGATTTACTTTTTTTGCAAGATCTTTGCCTCCCTGTATTGTTACATTGTATTGATCCTTTTTCATAGGTAAATCTATTACTGAAGTTATGATTAGCATGCAATGTAGTGAGTGGCTTACACATTATCATTATGCAGCCAGTCCTTTTGAATTATCTGACTATATACATATTAATGTTTCTCTCTCAGCTCAATTGTTAATGTGCCTGGGGAATCCACCCTTAGACGTGATTTTCTGAGACTACAGCAGGAGAACAAGGAGCGTTCTGAAGCCTTACGAAGGCAGCAGCTGCTGCAGGAGCAACAACTAAGAGAGCAGGAGGAGTACAAGAGGCAACTACTGGCAGAGAGACAGAAACGTATAGAGCAGCAAAAAGAGCAAAGAAGGCGCCTTGAAGAGGTACAGTATCAGTCCCACTGAAAAAAAACCTCCGTGAAGGTGACTTTGGCAAAATTTATTTTTTGATGAAAAAGTTTATCCTTGTTGGAGAGGCACCAAGTACAACAGGTCAGGAGAGAAATATTGATGCAGTCTTTGATTGCCTTTATTTAAAAATAGTTGCTTGGATATGTCAGTCTTCTGAATTACTGGTGAAAAGAAAGCACTCGGCAAATGAGTCAGAGAAAAGTCAGAATTCCTTCTCTTCATTTTGGGTCAGTGGCTCAAAAAACAAGCCAAAGTATTAGCCTAGCAGCCAGGTAATGAGTGTTTTTAGGAGAGGTCCACAAGAGCAGCTCACTTATTTTTTTCTTGTGTATTTGCGGAGGCTGTGTAATAAGCAGCTGTTTTCTCTATGGTCACCCATAACATTGGAGTATTATCATTATTTCAGTTATCCGTAAAGTGTATCTAACCCCTCTCCCTTTCTATCCTAGGGTGACAACGCTAAGAACACTCATCTATGAAGGAGCAGCATTGTCACCCTAGGACAGGAAGTGTGTTAAATCTGCAGAATGCCTACCCATCTACTGATTTCAATACCTTATAAAGTGTTCAGAGGAAACCTCTTTTAGGTTAAACATGGCTGATAACCCTGCCTGAGATAATGTCATAGAGCACAAAGGGCAGCACTGAATTTCTGTCAAGATGAACAGTATATTTATTTTTGTATTTATTGAACAAGTAAAAATCACCTTCAGGTACTGGGCACTGACAAAACTTAAGATGCCCCCTGGGATCATACCTTATATTCCTACCCCACTCTGTGAGGCTGCCGTTTTTGTTCTAGTGCTTCACAAAGAAACTCTTGCCTCCGCTTAACTAGTTTTGTTTTCTGATATTTTATCTTCCAATTCTTTACGCAAACACTCACTGTCTTCTAATGCCAGCATAGAAACAGTGAATCCAGACTGGCACAGCCTCAATAAAACTTTGAGAGCAGTACTTGGACTCATACTATGGGGACAGTAATGTTGCTTCGAACACTGGATCCTGCGTGGGCACTCACCTTGGCACTTGATGCAATACATTGAGTTAACCACAGGGTGCTATACAGGTCCAGGTCATTTGTCTGTCACATTGGAACCTGGTCCCTGAAAACCCCCATATGTCATCCATGATGGATAAAGTCTGGACTTTAATTTCAGTCCCTGACTGTTACTGTGTAACATGGGGCTATGTTTGGAATGTATTTACTTTCCAGTGCAAACTGTTCAAAAGCAACACTACCACTCAGCACTTAGTCTCAGGGGGATGAACAGGTGTTTCACCACTCCACTGGTTGTACTATTTAACGCCACTTCCATTTAGAGCCCTTTTAAGTTAATCAGGTTGCTTCTCCCCGCCTATTCACCATGAGGATTTGTTACAGGATGATGGTGTACACCTGAGCTACCGTTTACTCCTTAGGGACACACTTACCCTACATACTACACCCTATTCTGTGAGACGAACAGATGAATAAGCTCACTTAGTTATTGCAGAACCCAGAAGAAAGGGAGCCAATGCAATCTTTCACTCTGCGGAAGGCCACACAAGGCTCAACTTCAGTGATTGTGTCCTTTGCACTGGCGCAAGAACCAGTTTTAACTCAGGCCTTGGCATTTGATTCTAGTTGTATTTCAGGCACACAGCAAGAAGTCTGTTAGATGTAGAGAATTCAACCTTAGTCACATTTTCTCCAATACATTACGGCCTTAATACAGCCATGTTCGTACAGGACTCAAAATGCCATGTCATATCCCCTTAACTGGATTTGCATCCTGATATTCCAGTCCTAGAGGACACAGAAGGAAATGAAAAGGATATTTAGGAAATATTAGAGAAGGCCACTGAAGATTCTATTCCCCCACATTGGCTTTATATTGATGAGGGAGCTTCACCCAACATGCTTCCTAATGTTGAAAAGTTCATTGCCTCTGTCTGCAAAAGCCTTGGCATTGTATAAGCAAACCCTTCTGTCTTACCCTGCCCCTTTGAGTACAAAGAGACCTACAAAGCCCTGGAAAACAATCCCTGTTCATGAGCAGATGAATGTGTACAGTCTACAATGACTGGGTCACTCCTGAAAGGACTTTTACTCCTCCCAAAACCTAGCTTTATCCAGTGGATAAGGAGCTCATAAAAAAGGCGGGCTATTCCTGTAGTTGATCTTGCTATTGAAGATGTTCCTTCTTTTCAAAGATTCTGCAGATAGAATGTTTGAGACACTCCTACACGCTCTAATAAATCCCTGCACCCAGCTCTGGCTGCAATTTCAGTATGTCAAGCTGCTGCTAACTGGACTAAGATAATGGACAACCAATATGACCCTATAGTTCAGTTTCACGTTGATACACAGCAATTACAATAATTGCCTTCTGCTGTACTTTTCTGTGTGGATGCCCTAGAACAGTGGTGGGCAACCTTTTTTTTCAACTGAGCCAAATCTCGCCAAAACCATGATTGAAATTTATTTTGAGAGCCACATTTTTAAAACTGAAAATACATCTCCCATATAGTAATTCATCCCCCATAGTAATTCATCCCCCATATAGTAATTCATCCCCCATAGTGTAATTCATCCCCCATAGTGTAATTCATCCCCCATAGTGTAATTCATCCCCCATAGTGTAATTCATCCCCCATAGTGTAATTCATCCCCCATAGTAATTCATCCCCCATAGTAATTCATCCCCCATAGTAATTCATCCCCCATAGTAATTCATCCCCCATAGTAATTCATCCCCCATATAGTAATTCATCCCCCCATATAGTAATTCATCCTCCATATAGTAATTCATCCCCCATAGTAATTCATCCCCCATATAGTAATTCATCCCCCATAGCAATTCATCCCCCGTATAGTATTTCATCCCTCGTATAGTATTTCATCCCCCGTATAGTATTTCATCCCCCGTATAGTATTTCATCCCCCATATAGTATTTCATCCCTCATATAGTATTTCATCCCCCATATAGTAATTCATCCCTCATATAGTATTTCATCCCTCATATAGTAATTCATCCCTCATATAGTATTTCATCCCCCCATATAGTAATTCATCCCTATATAGTATTTCATCCCCCCATATAGTAATTCATCCCTCATATAGTATTTCATCCCCCCATATAGTATTTCATCCCCCCATATAGTATTTCATCCCCCCATATAGTATTTCATCCCTCATATAGTAATTCATCCCTCATATAGTAATTCATCCCTCATATAGTATTTCATCCCTCATATAGTATTTCATCCCCCATATAGTATTTCATCCCCCCATATAGTATTTCATCCCCTCATATAGTATTTCATCCCTCATATAGTATTTCATCCCCCCATATAGTATTTCATCCCTCATACAGTAATTCATCCCTCATATAGTAATTCATCCCCCATATAGTATTTCATCCCTCATATAGTATTTCATCCCCCATATAGTATTTCATCCCTCATATAGTAATTCATCCCCCCATATAGTATTTCATCCCCCCATATAGTATTTCATCCCCCATATAGTATTTCATCCCTCATATAGTAATTCATCCCTGATATAGTAATTCATCCCTCATATAGTATTTCATCCCTCATATAGTATTTCATCCCCCCATATAGTATTTCATCCCCCCATATAGTATTTCATCCCTCATATAGTATTTCATCCCCCACAGTACTATTCCCCCCCCCCCCCCCCCTTCTAGTAAGCCAAGTCCCCCGTGTCAATTCACTTACCTTTTGCGTTCCTCTCGCTGTCTTCCCGCGCCGTTCGGGTCTTCAGGGCGGACTGTGAGAGGAGCCTAGCTCCCCTCCCCTCACGTTCGGCACGCTGCCCCGCCTACACACATCCTGACAGCCACATCCGCAGGCCGGATTAAAAGGTCCGCGCGGACTTTTGGGGCTGCCAACCGAGAGGAGGCAGGGGAGCGGCCGACCGAGAGGAGGGAGGGGAGCAGGCGCCCGGCACACAGAAGAGCCGCATTAGACTGGGTAAAGAGCCGCATGTGGCTCGCGAGAGTCGCGGCTTGCCGACCACTGCCCTAGAACATATAAGACAAGCTTCCATGATGGCTCTCATTTCCATTCACATGTACAGAATTGGTGAGGCACTTGACCAATTTATCAAAGAGCTCACAGATGGTAAGGTCTTGCATCCACAGTTGGGGAGGTTTTTTTTTTTTTTTTGTTCATTTTTTTTCTTCTACAGCGGAAGGTTCCAAAACAACCTTTCTCTTCAAATCACAGAGCACCTGTCCTCTCTACCCAGGTTTTAGCTTCAAAACCTAAGTTCAGCCCTTCCTTTCAGCGCAAGGCCTGGTTCACCAAGGCTACCATTCCCGAAGCCCTTTTCACAGTGAAGGGGCTCCCTCACTCCTAAGAGTGGAGAGATGAGTGTTACAGTTTTGTCAAAATATTATACTCCTGCACTAGGATGAATAAACAAATACACAAAAAGCAGCTGTAAACAAAGTGCTCATACACACTTAATCATAATGTCAAGAAATACTTAAAGTGTTATTTGCAATAATAGTGCAGTCAATAAATAAAATATATGAACATATAGTGTGTCCACAACATCATATCTGTTCTGCGCCACCATGTGGCTGCCATAAAGTGTTCATGCAATCAATTTAAATCTAAAGTGCTTCTGTCCAATCTAAAAAAATGCAACAGTGTGCTCTTGTGATAAATTTCCTGTAATCCTCCCCAACCAACACAGAGAATTCACCAGATAGATATGACCATCCACTACTGGTAAGTCATAATGCCAAAAAAAAGCTGCTACATAGACATACCTAGTCATCTAGCAAATGACCCCTGGCATTTCCCTAACAAACCAGATCTGCTTTAACATCATGGCAGTTGAAACCCAAATGTTAAAGGATCTTGGGGGATCCACTTTTTTAACCTATCAGAGATATCCCCTTAGAGGTTCTTTCATGCAAAGTAGCCTTCTTGGTCACTATCAGGTTTGTGTGAAATTGCTGACCTTTCTGTAAAGAGCTTTTCCTCCTTCTGCACAATGATAAGGTTGTCTGTTGCCCAAGGCCATTTTTCTTAAGTGGTCTCAGCATTCCACCTCAGTTGGGACATTGTCCTCCCATTCTTATGCCCTGCTCTTAAGCAACCCAAAAAATTAGACCAGTATACTACAAGACCATGTTGAATCAGCTTGAACTTTTTAACGTGACAGTAGCTGCAAATATTACTAATCCCTTTCTGTTGATGCAAGCTCGATCACTGTTTTGTGGGTGATGATGGAGTGGCCTCCAGAATAAGACAGCTAAACATATATGTAGCAGCTGGGCAACAAGGCCCACCCACCTTACTATCACATATATGCGTAATGCTGTCATAAAAGGGTTAGGAAGTTTAAGGTTCATGTGAGTGTGCCCAACTGTCCTTGACAGGTCTGCAAGAGGAAAACAGACCCCAGATTGAACAGAAGGATGGTGTGAATGTAGACAGCCAATGAAAACTTTCTAAGAGCTGCAAGCTAAATTCTCTAAGGTCAAGGTCCATCAGTGTTTGATCACAGCATCTGTTGCTTTTTAATCAACAGTGCGTTCACTAGAAGATGACCCAGGAACACTCCACTGTTGAAAGAAAAACACTCACAAAGCCATATGGCAATTTGCTAAAATGTATGTTTAGAAGCCAGAATGCATCTGGAAGAAAGTCCTTTCGATAGTTGAACCAAAACTGGAGATTTTTGGCAAGTCACATAAACTTCGTTCAGATGAATGAAGCTTTCAAAGGAAAGAATACGTTACCTACTGTGGAACATGGAAGAGGCTTGGTTATGTTTTAGGCCTTGTTCAAGCATGCACAGGTATTCAATGCATCTGTGTGCAGGCAGTCCATTCATGTCATCTGGGATGAAGTGGCTGCTCCCTATTGCACAGTCGCATGGGAACGTTTTTCCTAAATGCTGACACTGTATTTGATACCTATTTACTTTTGCTCAGGCAGCAGTCACTTGTACGCCGCCAAGCGTTGCTTGCTCAGCACCTCCTTCATTCATAAAAATCCTTTGCAATCTTTTCAGTGATGGCGGAGGGGAGATTGTGACATTCATCTGCACCTCCTCAAAGCAGAGCTCCATGCATTTTTTGAAAAGAATGCAAGGCTTTTTTATGAATGCAGGAGGTAGTGAGTGATTTTCAGCACCAACAGGAGGCTGCTGTCTGAGTAAAAGTAAGTTGTAACAAATGTTGCAGCAGCCAGAGATGGGGTATGCATCCTTAGAACTAACGTATTCTTAATGTGCAGGTATCCAAAGCCATTTTTGGCTGTACATCGTATGTCGGCTTTAATAAATCCCCCCCCCCCCCCCCCCCCCCCCCCCCAAATTAAAAAACACTATTTTCTGTGCCTTTTTAATTATTTAAATTTTTAAATATACTTTTAAATAAAGAATCGTAAGCAATTTATTTCAGAGAAAATTGTGTTTTCTTTTTTCAAAGGAGGATATCAACAGTTTTGTCCAGAAGTGTCAAATGGTTTATCTCAACCTTAACTGCCACTCTTGCTGGACTGCTTGACAATTGGTAATAAAACCGTTACAGGGAAAACTCAGAAAAACAGACTGGCGTATTAGTGCTGTTGACTGCATCCTATGTGTATATTTTGATTTTGCTTCATAGTTTCACTTTAATCTTTCCCAGCAAGACTGTATTGGTCCACTCTAAACCGTGAAAAACTAGTATTCTAAACTAGTTAATTCCATGTGGCTGTAATTTTTTTCTTTTACCTTTCCAACAGCAACAAAGGAGAGAGCGAGAGGCAAGGAGGCAACAAGAAAGAGAGCAACGGAGGAGAGAGCAGGAAGAAAAGAAGAGAATGGAGGAGATAGAAAGAAGACGTAAAGAAGAAGAAGAACGTAGAAGAGCTGAGGAAGAGAAAAGACGTGTAGAAAGAGAACAGGTTAGTTTTTGAAAAAAAGTTAACCAATGTGTATAACTTGTAATAATTAATTTTGGTGTGGGTGGTTTATTGTGTGGTGCTTCACACCCTGTATGTAGGTTTTATTTACCAGGGTTCCTCTAATTACTGAAAGCTACTCTTGTGACAATGTTCATGTATTAGAACAAGTGTGGTCTGTGTAGCCTAGAAGAGTGCCTGTGGACTATGGACTCTGATAGCCGTTTTTTTGAAAATTTAAGTGTCCTGATTAGATACTGAGAGTTGTAGGGGATGTGTTCCCAAGGCCAAGGAGAGCAATTTTACATAGATGCCACATGGGTAGGTGGTGCATGCAGCTTAGAAAGACATTGCACTGAATTTGAACAGAACTAAGATTACAGGAGGCTGAGATTTCAGCAGTGGCACATACAGTAGTTTAGCATGTTTTCATGTATCTGTGTGCTAAATGTCATTCAGTTAATGCAATGTCCAGAAGACCCCTGCATGCAATAAAGTCATTGAATCTTGTGCTGATGCCATTCCATGTATGCACAAGCATACATTACATGATGATGTAAGCCAGTTATTGCTTTACTTTCACAGAATTCTATTTAGTGTGGTCATTCTGCACTGTATGGTATAATTTTGTAGTAAAGGTATAAATCTGTCTTGAATGTTTTGCATGCAAGTATGCAGGTTCAGCTTTGTTTTAGGGTACATGATTCTAGACTTTTATAGTTCTACTTTTGAGAGTCACTGACCTGGAGCAAGCATGCAGCTAGTAATGGTAGTCCAAAAGTCATATCGGGCTACCGTACTCATGCACCTCTAAAAATGCCAGCAACTTCCATATTTCTTTGCTCTTATTCAGTGTTAGTACTATACGCTACTTTACAGTGTCAGTGCAAATATTCAGTGCATTCATAACGTATTTAGACCCCCATCACTTCTTTTTTGTCATGTTGCAGCCTGAAAGTACAGTTGTTTAAATTAATTTTTTCCCCTGATTAATCTAAACTCCGTACCCCATAATGTCAAAGTGAAAATAGAATTTTAGAAATGTTTTGCAAATGTATGAAAAAGAAAAAAACTGAAATATCACAAAGCCCATATCGGTGGAGGGCTCAAGTGATGGTGGCATAAGTATTTAGAGACCCTTAGCAAGAACACGTGAAATTTAGCTTAGGTGCCTCCTGCTTCTCTTGACCGTTGCTGAGATGTTTCTACACCTAGATTGGAGTCCACCTGTGGTAAATTAAATTGATTGGACATGATTTGGAACGGCATACACCTCTCTATAAAAGGCCTCACAGCTGACAATGCATACTGTATCAGAGCAAAAGCCATGAGGTCAAAGGGACTGCCTGTAGAGCCAGGAGACTGGATTATTGCAAGCCACAGATGTAGGGAAGGCTACACAATAATTTCTGCTGCACTGAAGGTTTCCTAGAGCAGGGGTGGGCAACTGTGGCCCTCCAGCTGTTGTAAAACTACAAGTCCCATGAGGCATTGCAAAACTGACAATTAAAAGCATGACTCCCAAAGGCAGAGGCATGATGGGACTTGTAGTTCACCAACAGCTGGAGGGCTACAGTTGCCCACCCCTGCCCTAGAGCACAGTGGCCTTCATAATTCTAAAATGGAAGAAGTTTGGCACAACCAGGATTCTTCCAAGAGCTGGTTGCTCTGCCACACTGAGCAACCATAGGAGAAGGGCCTTAGTAAGAGAGGTGACCAAGAATCTGATGGGTCACTCTGACTGCGCTCCAGAGATCCTGTGGTGGAGATGGGACAAAGTTCCAGAAGGACCACCATCACTTCAGCCCCCCACCGATATAGGCTTTGTGATATTTCAGTTTTTCATTTTTCATACATTGGCAGACATTTCTAAAATTCTGTTTTCACTTTATTATGGGGTACTGATTGTAAATTAATTAGAAAAAAAAAATAATTTAAACAACTATAGTATCAGGTTGCAACATAAAATTGAAAGGGGTCTGAATACTTTATGAATGCACTGTAATTACTGCTTTTGCAGATTGGCACTCTTGTTTTAAAATACATTGGACAGGTTATTGGCAGGCTTAGCAGGATATGTGATCATATCTGTTATCACTATTTAATTTCAAGATTTAGTCATATTTCCTGTTTAGTGTCTTTCATCCTTACACCCATGGGATTGTCCTAGCCTATTCACAGGTCATTTTGGCAGTGAAAATGCTTTTACCACCTGGATTGCCTCATTCAAGAAGTGGCAAAATGACACTTGTAGACAGCTCAAGTGTTAAGAGCTGCCTAGAATTAAGACATGTAAACCTAGTATATTAACTTGAAGATACTCCTTTTGGTAATTAATGCCTGACAATTGTGAGGTATTTTTACTGAATGAGGAAATTTAGACCTTGCCATAAATCACTTCAGTTTTCTTAAATTTACGCAGATCTTTGGTGTATAGTAGTCCAATATGCAATTCTTTAGGAATACAGAGTTTGTTTAAAAAAGAAAATTGATTGTGTAACGCAATCAATGTAGGTTGTAGCCAATGATATGTGACATATATTTATATAAAACACAACCTCTTTTCATGCCATCTTTAGGTTGTGTATGAAATAAAAATATGAATGTGCCACCTTTATAAAAAAAAACCTACAGCAAATAAAGTTTATACGAAACTGGCGTTCTTGACCATAGTTAACCGGTTTCATCTTTTATTTACTAGGACAAAAGGGGAAATCTTACTTGCCTGTATCGGCAAGTGCTCCATTTTCATAGAGAACTTTTTCTCCAGTCTAGTAAATTACCCCTCGAGTACATTTAACAAGGTTTTCCACTTAAAGTTAAAAATCCTTTGCCTCTTGATGGCTAGTGGCGATTCCCCTTGTTGGGAAGTCAGTGCTTTTAGAACGTCTTTGCTAAAAATGCTAACCTTTTTGAAACCCTGTTTAAAGTTGAAGTTGCCATGTTTTACTTTAACATTAGAACCTTAAAATAAACGTATGGGATGTTTATTGCCAGATCATACTTATTGCCAGATCATACTCATTCAAGAAGTGGCAAAATGACACTTGTAGACAGCTCAAGTGTTAAGAGCTGCCTAGAATTAAGACATGTAAACCTAGTATATTAACTTGAAGATACTCCTTTTGGTAATTAATGCCTGACAATTGTGAGGTATTTTTACTGAATGAGGAAATTTAGACCTTGCCATAAATCACTTCAGTTTTCTTAAATTTACGCAGATCTTTGGTGTATAGTAGTCCAATATGCAATTCTTTAGGAATACAGAGTTTGTTTAAAAAAGAAAATTGATTGTGTAACGCAATCAATGTAGGTTGTAGCCAATGATATGTGACATATATTTATATAAAACACAACCTCTTTTCATGCCATCTTTAGGTTGTGTATGAAATAAAAATATGAATGTGCCACCTTTATAAAAAAAAACCTACAGCAAATAAAGTTTATACGAAACTGGCGTTCTTGACCATAGTTAACCGGTTTCATCTTTTTATTTACTAGGACAAAAGGGGAAATCTTACTTGCCTGTATCGGCAAGTGCTCCATTTTCATAGAGAACTTTTTCTCCAGTCTAGTAAATTACCCCTCGAGTACATTTAACAAGGTTTTCCACTTAAAGTTAAAAATCCTTTGCCTCTTGATGGCTAGTGGCGATTCCCCTTGTTGGGAAGTCAGTGCTTTTAGAACGTCTTTGCTAAAAATGCTAACCTTTTTGAAACCCTGTTTAAAGTTGAAGTTGCCATGTTTTACTTTAACATTAGAACCCTTAAAATAAACGTATGGGATGTTTATTGCCAGATCATACTTAGGTGGTTGCAGCATCAGTCCCCTGCCGACTCTAAGGGTGAGAATTTGGGCGATCACATGACCGCTGGTCACTGAGTTTTCACCGCCGCTCTGAGGAGAGAGCTGTGACTGTCAGTCTCTCACTGGAGCACAGAATTGTGGAAGAGGAGGCAACGGCTGGCTCAGGCTCTCAGCAGATCGCTGGGAGGCTGAGCCAGGTGCCACTCCAGACTTTGGGGTGTAGCCCGACTTTAAAGTCGGGATATTTCCCCAGCATAGACTGGCTGATTGACATAATCTGAAAATGGGTCACAGGAGTGCAGAAAGAACCCACAGGAGAAGTACATCCAAAAGAGCTTTGGCTGTACTTTATTATTATTATTATACAGGATTTATATAGTGCCAACAGTTTGCTCAGCACTTTACAATATAACGGGAGACAATACAGCAACAATACAGTTCAATACAAGAGGGAAAGGAGGGCCCTGCTCCTTGGAGCTTACAATCTAGGAGGGAGGGGCTAGTGGTACACAAGGTAGTAACTGTGGGGGATGGACTGGTTGGAAGAGTAGAAGATTCCATTATTAGTTGAGGGCAGGATAGGCTTCCCTGAAGAGAGATTTTCAGAGATCGCGTAAAAGTGAGCAGAGTAGGCAATAGTCTGATAAATAGGGGTAGAGAGTTCCAGAGGATGGGGGAAGCTCTGGAAAAGTCCTGGAGACGAGCATGAGAGCAGGAGGTTGTGCGAGGAGCGGAGAGTACGGTTTGGGTGATATTTGGAGACAAGATTGGTGATGTAATTTGGGGCAGAGTTATAAATGGCTTTATAAGTTATTAATGTTTTGAATTTTATCCGTTGGGCAGTGGGAAGCCAGTGAGAGCCCTTTTATCATTTTGCTGTGCTTTGTGTTAAGGCAGCCTATTCTTTTTGAATGGGCTGCTAGTGCACCACAGCAAACTTAAAACCAGGCATTTTACACTTTGCATTACAGCGCAAAAATGGTTTCCATTTCTATGTTGCAGTGCAGTTGCATTGGAGTGACTTGCATGTTGCATTATAATGACATTCTGAATGAATGGCTCCACCGTATTTGTGTGTTGTGGTAATGTGTGACCTAAAGGATTGTGGTATTTTTTCTGTTGCTCTATTAATACTATATAGTTAGAATTCTGTTCCTCCTTTAATGAGTTACTGAGTTTAGTTCAAGGAAATAACATTGCTTTAAGCCCTGGTTTACAATAATGCGGTGTGACACATCACATGTGATTTGCACAGGAACCGCACCACATTCCTGTGCAAGTGTACAAGCCAACGCACACATTCCTGCGTTACAAAATGGCTGTGTGTATAAGTGGGTGCTGCAGCGATTATCGGCTGGAACCAAACAGAATCAGCAAGGAAGAATGTCACCAGCACACTGAGGATCACCAATATGGGTCCAAAAGTTTTAATGAACGATTACATAGTTACAGCAAGGCAACGTTTTGGAGTCTCGCAGGACCCCTTCATCAGGCATGTGACAAATTGTGATATGAAACTGGAGAACTATTTAAGAAAGCCATCCACCAATCAGAGTGAAGTGAAATGAGCCTGGTCCCTCCCCATGATGTCATGTTCCCTCCAAAAATGCATTCAAATCCATGTAAACAAACATTACAAACTGCGAAAATAAACCATAAAACAATAATCAGATGTACATAAATTGCATTCCCGGGGATATAAGCATTGTAGTCACATGTGTATCATAGTACTCCCCGGATTGTAATAAAGTGTAAGCTGAAAGCAGCGCTGGATTATGGAAACAATGACCAGCAGCATATGTCATTGACAGAAGATAAAAACTGTTGCCTAGAGATGTGTGAGTGCGTTTCCGATTGTCAAGTGAGTTGCAATGAGTATACACCTACATTGGTCCTGTTGGTGCAGCGGCCGACAGTGTCATGGCAACGGATGTCACCTGCATGTACCATGCGAGTATACTACTCATGCATGCGCGCAGTCATTCCTGCACCGGCCGTCGTCATGGAAACCCATGATGTCGGCAACAGGCAGGACAAGTCAGGGGAAGGCTGCTGGCATCATGGAAACACATGGCGCTGGCACCACACAAGCCAATGGGCGGGCAGGGTTGCACAGATGAGCTGTGAAGAAAAAAGAACAGAAAGAAAGCAGATTGAGGGCCAGTTCACACCACATGCGTTTGTTACTTTTCATCTGTGTGATATTGATAGCCATGTAGCCTCCTTTCTCTTTGGATGCAGATGCTAAGTAACAAACGCATGTGGTGTGACCTGGCACTCAATCTGCTTCCTTTCTGTTGTTCTTTTTTTTCTTCACAGCTCATCTGTGCAACCCTGCCCGCCCATTGGCTTGTGTGGTGCCAGCGCCATGTGTTTCCATGATGCCAGCAACCTTCCCCTGACTTGTCCTGTCTGTCGCCAACATCATGGGTTTTCATGACGGCGGCCAGTGCAGGAATGACTCTTGAGCGCATGCATGAGTAGTAAACTCGCATGGTACACGCAGGTCATATCCGTCGCCATGACACTGTCGGCTGCTGCACCAATAGGACCACTGTAGGTGTGTCCTCATTACAGCTCACTTGACAATAGGAGGCACACACCCACATCTCTAGGCAACCGTTTTTATCTTCTGTCAATGACATATATGCTGCTGATCGTTGTTTCCATAATCCAGCGCTGCTTTCAGCTGACACTTTATTACAATCCGGTAAGTACTGATACACGTGACCACAATGCTTATATCCCCAGGAATGCAGTTTATGCACATCTGATTGTTTTATGGTTTATTTATTTTCTCAGTTTGTAATGTTTCTGTTTACATTGTTTTGACTGCATTTTTGGAGGGAACATGATATTATGGGGCCGGACCAGGCTCATTTCACTTCACTCTGATTGGTGGATGGTTTTCATAAATATTTTTTCCAGTTTACTACAATTTGTCACATGCCTGATGAAAGGATCCTGCGAGACTCCGAAACATTGCCTTGCTGTGACTGTGATCGTTTATTAAAACTTTTGGCCCCATATTGTTGATCCTGGATGCCGTGCGATTGCAATGCAGGAAACGCACAAGATTTGCTGCGTTTCCCGCACCGCATTAGTGTGAACCAGGGCTAAATACAGATTATCTAAATTGTTTGTATTCACTAAACTGCTGGAATGGTCATTTTTTTTTTTTTGTTTGCATTTATTTGTGCAAATATCCAGAAATATTCTTTGTTACCTATGTGCTTGCATTAATATAAACGGTGCAGTTTTTCTTTTGTACAGAGAAAATGAATTGCCACGTTTCATTCCAGGAAACTATTGCCACTTAGTGGCCACTTCTGAAATTTTTTATGGCTTGAATTCAAAAACAGAACAAGTCGCATTTGATTGTTCTAATGCAACTTGGCAAGAAGAAGAAATTATTTTCACACTGATTTTACTTTGTTTTCCCTTATATGCACATGAAGCCTTTTTTCTTTTTTAATGATCACAAGTACATTTTGTTAGTAAAGGTCAGGTTGGTGTGTTTTTTGTTTTTGTATGTTTTAAGAAGAATGGATCTGTAGTGATCAGTAAAATATTTGATTTTCCTAATTTGTAGGAATCGGCGTTTGGGACAGGAGGTTCTGGTCATAGGATATAACTGGAGATCAGATGCTGGATAATTTTGCATTTAAAGTGTAACTAAGGGTTACAGGAAGTGAAAGTAAGAGAAAATCTCAAGTTTTGGGTTGTCTCCAGAAAAGTAAATCTTCAATGGGGACACTAGTTCTAGTGACCTGAGGGCCCCAGGGAATTCTCTTAATTTGCAGGGATTTCCTCTCATGTCCTGGTTTGGCTATGAGACAGGAAATGAAGGGAAATCTCCCCGTTAAGACACAGATGGCAAAAAAAAAATATCTGACAGGGATTATAACCCTCCCTTAGGCCTGGTTCCCATCTGTCGTTTTTGCGGCCCGCAATTGTGTGGACAAGGTTGCTCATTCATCATTTATTGGGCTGCTGTACCTGTTTCCCGCAGAGAAAAGGTGCATAAACATTTTTCAAAACACAGCTGCAGGGAAATTAAATGGTGCTTTTGCAGCATGTGACTTCCCTGCGGTTCCCACACCGCAATTGTGCTGCGTTTAAATACATGGGGGTGCCATTAAGAATGAGTAGCCGCCCCACGCTTTTTGACTGCAGGTGGTCGTCTGTGCAGGAATGCTGTGATGCCTGCAACCATCTATCTGCATAGATGTGAACCAGGCCTTACTCTGTTAAACATTTTTTAAAAAAAAGTCTTAACTGTAGTTCTATTTTAATGACGAGTACCCCCTCCCAAATCAAGCATTGTGAAATCACTATGCACTTGCTCCTGGTAGAAATGTTCATGCTTTAAGTATTGCTAATGTGCTCAGTGCTCCTCTTATTTTTGGTAGGATTATGCTGTTAATACACAGAAGTGGTGATTTGCTTTTACCACAGATAGAGATATACAGAAGGTGTCTGGCACCTATAAACCACATTCCTCATCACATCATGACAAAATGGCGCCAATCCAGTGACCGATGTCAATTGCTACTGGTGGTTCAAACATTATTGGAAGTTTTGTTTCATTTTTTTTTTTTTTTAATCTCTGCTGATAAAGTTGTTCGAAGACTTGGATATTACAGAACATCCAATGAGTAGTGGATGGCAGTTGTAGTCTGGACCACGCAAGGGTCTGCAAAGATCTGCCAGATCTCAGTTTGGCTTGAAACGTTTTTTTTTTTGTGATCATTACTTACATTTACTGTCCTTGATCGCACGGTTCCAAACAATCATCAGGTCCCCATGTGTGCAGCCATCTTTACAAGCATAAGGATTGCTATAAAATGCTCAAGTTCACAAACCCTAAAGTCTCTGAAATGTTTGCTTGACAGGAGTACATTAGACGACAGCTGGAAGAGGAGCAAAGGCACTTAGAAATCCTTCAACAGCAGCTGCTTCAGGAGCAGGCCATGTTACTGGTAAGAGTGCAGTGATCTGGTGCTGTAGCTAATAAGTTGGAAGGTCAGCTTTGTTCAAGCACAGCTGCACAAGCTGTACAAACAATTAGCTGGTTTGGGGAGGGGGTGTTTTGTGAAGAAATTAGATTGACAGGCACAGCTACATCTAGCTGCTGCGGTTGCATTGTTTGAGGGAGCTGAACTTAGAACATCATGGAATTCCATCTTGAAGCTGATGTCAAGTTTGGTGAAAATATAAACAAAGATGATTCTCAACTTTTAGACACACCTGCTAACAAAGGCACCAAACACAATTAGCTGTTGTGGAATTATTGGGGGTAGCGCTGTGAATTTGTCTGCTTAAAGTGAATTCTATGACGTCCGATTCTGATGGCTGCATATATTTGTTGTTGTTGCTTTGCAATGCCTGGTAATCTCAAGTAATGTTCAGATAAAATTACTTGCAAATATCAGATCAAATATTGGTCACCTTCTTTCTGCCTGGCTCATTTAGGAGCCTGGATGGCCTTTACTATGTAAGGCTCTTTTAACACTGATCCGTTTTTCTTCTGCCTTTGCATTAAAGAAGAACGTGTGACCAGTGGTGTATTTAGGTTTTGTGCTGTCCTAGGCAACACAAAAAATCCCCCCCCCCCCTCCTTTCCCGTGCACCATCATTTGCTGAGCAGAACTTGGTGGTCGGACACATCATTCTGTGAAGGTGTCAGTGGTATGAGCGGTGTGAAGATGTCAGTTAAAGGTATGAGCGGTGTGAAGATGTCAGTTAATGGTATGAGCGGTGTGAAGGTGTCAGTGGTATGAGCGGTGTGAAGATGTCAGTTAATGGTATGAGCAGTGTGAGGATGTCCGTTAATGGTATGAGCGGTGTGAGGATGTCAGTTAATGGTATGAGCGGTGTGAGGATGTCAGTTAATGGTATGAGCGGTGTGAAGGGGCCGTTAGGGGTGTTGAAGGGGTATGAGCGGTGTGAAGGGGCTGTTAGGGGTATGAGCGGTGTGAAGGGGCCGTTAGGGGTATGAGCGGTGTGAAGGGGCCGTTAGGGGTATGAGCGGTGTGAAGGGGTCGTTAGGGGTATGAGCGGTGTGAAGGGGTCGTTAGGGGTATGAGCGGTGTGAAGGGGTCGTTAGGGGTATGAGGGTGTGAAGGGGTCGTTAGGGGTATGAGCGGTGTGAAGGGGTCATTAGGGGTATGAGCGGTGTGAAGGGGTCGTTAGTGGTATGAGCGGTGTGAAGGGGTCGTTAGTGGTATGAGTGGTGTGAAGATGTCAGTTAATGGTATGAGCGGTGTGAAGGGGTCGGTTAGTGGTATGAGCCATAAGAAGGCGTCAGTAGTTTGAGCAGTGTGAATGTGTCGGTTACCTAGCAGTCCCTGGTCAGTATCTGTCGTGTATTACCGGTATGTATCCTCCTCACAGCCGCATTTCCCTTCCCTCTTCCATCTGTGGCAGCAGAGGTGGCTGGACCCCGCACAGCCCTCTGGGATTGTAGTTCTCTCCTGCGGAGGAGGCGAGGCGGGGGAAGGGACTACAACTGTTGGCATGCAGTATGCCTAGCTAGGCTGTAGGCAGCTCTGAGGTTCGGTGCTCCCAGAGCTCTCTGCCGTGTGGTGGTGGGCAGCTGGGGGCTGGGTCATGATCCTGGAGGACAGCACTGTCACCAGGGAGGCCCTATCCTCCCAGTCCTCACTGTATCCCTCAGTGGGGGTTCTGTTCTTGTGACATATCACTGATGTCCCTTTTTCCGGGGTCGGTGCCACCCCCTGAAAAATGCTGCCCAAGGCAAATGCCTTGTTTGCCTCGCGACAGATACAGCCCTGCGTGTGACCACATATTCCTATGGAACTCTTCATACTGAATGGTTGCAGGTCAGGTGCAATTTTTAAAATCCTGGTTATTTCTTCCATTGACACCAAAGATGGAGCACTGTTCCTCACACTGACACAGACAGTGGGGTACTATTTTTCCCACTGACACCAGATATGGGGAACAAATTCTCCCACTGACACCACTGATGGAGCACTATGCCTCCCACTGACACCAATGATGGGACACTATGATGTAATTTTTTTTTACTCCCACTGACCACCAAGCCTATATCATTGTTTACTCTTACCGATGCCAAGACATTTTCTAATCCCACTGTCCACAGTCAAGCCCCCCTAAAGTTTGAAGTGCAGTAAATTGGCCCTCTCATTCAGAAGTTTGTAGACCCCTTGTCTAGAGTTTCAAATGATTAAAAAAATAATAGATACAAATGCGTTCCATTTTTAAAACTAAACAAAAAAAACAAACTTTTTTTGTGACTAGCAAACTCGTGCATTGATGAGTTTCAAGTGCTTGACATTTACAAATCTAGGACAGATGTACGACATAAAGAATTAAAAAATAGACCAGCCTGGGCCACAGGCACGTGTGATTTGTTGCAAATGGTTAAGATGGTTTTCCTTCATATGTTGGCAGTCATGCTATTGTCTCCATTGGAGACCATAAAAACCTGATCTGTTCTAGCCCTTCCACACCATACCCAAATCTCAAAAACAAAATGTTCTACAATTTTTTTTCTTGCTCATGATTTAATGTGGTGTCTTGAACCCACTAATAACATAACAGGATAGGGCCAGCTTGTAATGTAATGCTGGTTTCCAAAGTTAATTTACATGATTTATGTACAGGGCTAATACATTCTGCATGTCCTAAAGTCCTGGTAAAAGTGATTGTTTAGCGTATTACATACTGGACAGTGCAAACAACATCCTACTCTTTTTCATCAGATTTGTATGCACAACTTCATATGTATAAATGATTATTACCACTTGTTTGGTACCATTGGGAGATTGAGAACAAGTGTGTTTGATAACCATAACAACATAATTTTAACTGTTAAAGTGGTTCTAAAGGCTGAAGTTTTTTTTTTTTTTTTTTTTTTTTTTTTTACCTTGATGCGTAACCTCCCAACCGCCGCCACTCCCCTTTCAAGTTTTGAGTTACTGATTTGGAACAAGTATGCATTTCTGGGTCAGTGACCCAAATAGTGGAAAACCAAATGGATCAGTATCACTTTTAATGTTTTATTTTAAATGTTTTTTTACCTTGCTTTAACATGGGCATTAGCTTTGTTACTCTGCATAATTAAGTCTAATCACACAGATGTACATTTTCAGGAATACAGGTGGCGGGAGATGGAGGAACACAGGCAAGCAGAACGACTCCAGCGTCAGCTGCAACAAGAACAGGCATATCTCATGTCTTTACAGCATGATCACCGACCGCAACCCCCGCAGCAGCAGCAGCAACCCCAGCCTCAGCAGCCCCCTATGCCACAGCAAGACAGGAGCAAGCAGAGTTACCATGCCCCAGAGCCTAAAGCCCACTATGAACAGGCTGAACGTGTGCGAGAGGTAATCCTTTAACTGGTTTGATGTTGAATATGTTTCTTTGGCAGTACAGTACGTACATATATTATGCAGGGGCATTACAGGTAAATTCAGGTGTTGGGCATGTATCAGATAAACTTATGCCATTAATAGAGCAGAATTATTAATTGTGTATACTTTCTTATACTTCACTAGGTTTTCCCAAGTTCATAAGCATTAAAGTGCATTGAAACCCAAAACCAAAAAATGTGCTATATTGCAGCTTACTAACCTTATATGTAATGCCTACATTTATTTTCTTCATGCTGTTTTCTCTTATTTTCACCTGGTTATTTACAGGATTACCAGGTGAAATCACAAGATGTATGTTCATTATGTATCAGTAAAAATTCCCTCTCCCCTCCACTTCCCTCCACAAAATCGAGCACTAATCTGCATGCTTATTCCCAAAGCATAAATTCCCCCTCCTCTCAGTACAAATCTGCCGCCCTGCTGAAATTCCCCTCCCAGTACAAATATTTGCCTCCTTATCCCCCCCCCCCCCCAGCTCAAATCCTCTCTCTCCCCATATGCCAGCATCACAGATTCTTAGAATACAAAGTATCCTGTGAATGTGTAGCGAAGGGGAGGAGGCAGGTAGTGCAGCTGCTGTGTAGTAGAGCACATCTTTCCTGTCAGAGCACAGTAAGTACACCTTGTTGGTCTTAACCTCTTGTGAGCCAGCACAGTTCCAACGTTTTACAATGCCTAGAGTTCTTCTTTAAAGACACTGCAAGTACAGAAAAATACCTGTTGATTCTGCTATAAATCCACCAAACTCTTACATTTTTGTAGTAAGCAGACAGTGTTGCCTCTGCTGCCTTAACATCCTGCTCCTCATGTCTATAGCACAAGGGGGATGTGTTCTGTAGTGCAGCAGGAGCAGACGACACTGCTTGTTTCAATGCAGCAGATGCAGTGTTGTCTTCTCACTATAGGAATTTAGGGGCATTCTTGATTTTTAACAGGGATAGGTATAGTTTTTAAAGGGATAAGCCATAAGAAAAGTGTATCTATCGTAGTGAAGTTTGTACATGGACATTGGAGGCCCCTTATTAATACTGGATTCATAAACCTAGTTTATAAATACTAAAATTCTGCATGTGTAAGGATGCAACATTTATGTATTCTGTGTTGCGAATGTGATATAGGCTGAAGAGCGCCTTAGGAAAACGAACCAAGGCTCTCCTGAAGCACAGTCAAAGCAAACAGGGAGAGTGTTGGAACCATCAGTGCCTTCAAGATCGGAGTCTTTTTCCAATGGGAATTCTGAGCCTTCTCAGCCTGCCATGCATAGGCCAGTGGAACCTCAGGTATGACAGTGCTTGCTAATAAGGAATGACACAGCTATCGGTGGGAGTCTTTCTTGTGAAATATGCTTACTGTGGCGATCTACAAATTCTAAATATGTGATTTTTATCTTCTGCTCAAAGCAGTACTGTTTCAGCTCATTACATTAAACTAAAAGTTCTTTGTTTTTGAGCCAACAACATCTGAATATGACTCCTGATCCATGTAGAATCATACAGATATGGTAATTTAGAGAGAAAATGTGTCTTTACTCTGAAGTAGCACAATATGATTATTTATTACTTGTAAGTGGTCTAATCCAAGTCCATAAAATCTCATTTTACGTGCTGATCTTATTCTATTACAAATTATTCCTGTACATAACATGTTCACCGTCCTGTACAACTGCATTTCACATGTTCTGTGAATCTCTACCGTAATGTCAGCTTTTTCTAGTTACTGTATTTCATTGTCTGACTTATGGATTGAAGATTTGTCTTACATTAGGGTGCCAGGCACATTCTGACTGTTAGGTATCCAAAGATGCCCATCCATATAATATGATCATGTGGTCTGGCTGATATTGCCTGCAGATTTTTTTTTTTTTTTTTTTTATATAAATTTGAACATATCTATCAGAAGAATTAAAGTGTAACTATAGAAAAAAACATTTTTTTTCCAGTTTTGGATAGAATGGAGAAAAGTAATACTCTGTCAGACTTTATTGCTGTCCAAAGAATTGTGGATATCACTCCTTGCTTGATGTCCACTGATAATGTTCCAACCTATACAGAAAGTGAGGGCATATCTCAGACAGAGACTGCAAAAATGTTAACACTGGTTCTAATGTTTCCTTAGACCCTGTTCACATCCTGTGGTTTGGGATCCCAAATCACGTGGCAGTCACAGCACAACTCACTGTGTGTATTTAGGTGCCGTTATCCTTTTAGTGCACCCAAATGTGAAGCAATTCTGCTGCGATTGTCACAAGTCAGGATCGCAGCAAAACTAGCCTTTACAAGTCATGCGAAGGTTATCGTCCTAACAGGAGCAGGAGCTTCTTTTTGGGAGACACACACGTAGGGCAGGCCATTTAAGTGAATGGGCTGGCCCTACAAAACATGCAAAATTGCTGTCAAATTGCTTTTAGAACCTCTGCCTAACTGCTACACGATTTTCAAACTCCCCCTTGCTCTATCCAAAGCCAAACAACAAATCAAAACCGTGGGCTGGATATGCTTTACATTTACCATTCTAAATCTGGAACATTTCCTATACACAAACATACTAGACATTGTTTGCTAACTGGGTGCAAAAATCATAGCCAGATGTATGTATGTGTGTTGTGGTTTTTGTTTTTTGTTCTTTTTTTTTTTTATTAAGGAGAAAATGCTAAACCCATTTCATGCTGCTTACCTGCTTTCACAAAGCATTAGCATTCCATGCCACCAGCCTGTCAAAATCAATGACAGCCTGAGATTATCGGCATCCAGAGCTGTGCGTCTGTCCCTGTACGGATGTGAACACTGGTGTGTGCAGGATGATCCATATGATGCGTCTCCCAGACTGTCATTGATTTTTGACAAGCTTGGCTGCACAGAACACCTGTCATTCCTTGGACATATAAACATGTTTTAATTGAGGTTTTAGCTTTTATTTGTAAAGGAAACCTGTGCAGAAAGAAATATATAGGCTGCCTTTGATTTCTCCCCTATCAGAAAATGCTGTTGTGCTAATTAAATGTCCAACGCTTTCTGAGTGAAGTACTTGAAGCGAGTAAGCATAAGAAATGGGTCTTTGGCTCAGGACATATAGAAGTCAGAGACATCCAGAGAGTTTTAGATGTCTACTTTTTTATTTCAGTACAGATGTCCTTGAAACTGCACTTGAAAACCATGGGATCTGTTATCTATTTGATCTAGGCTGTACGTTTTCTAGATTCATATACCATTAGTTATTCCCATGGCTGACTTTAATCACTTTAATTTAAATCCATAGATTCACATGCATTCTGTTCAGAATGTATGTACGGTTCTGATTTGTGTAAATAGTACACGCCACTCTTCATGATTGTATTATCAAAATAGCCCAAAAATGTGTTTTGCTTGAAGCTGTGCATACTTGTCGTTTTTAGTGCAATTGATTCATGACACACATTTTTAGAAAGTGGCAATTTTTTTTACCTCACTTCAAAGCAGAAGTAAACAAAAAATGTCTCTGGGAACTAAGCTTCAAATGTTTTTGAAATGGTTTTGTCTTTGGCCTTAGGAGGGATTATTAATCAAAATAAGAACAGGATAACATGACCTTATTCTTAACACAGTGAAACATTGTTAATGGAAACTTGTTCAAAATGTGGCCAATTCACTGATCCTAAGGGCGACCAAAAATGATTAGGCAGAGGTTACCTTCAGTATAAATGGTATATTCCAATGATCATTATATCCATATATGCAAATAGCTTACAGTTACTGACTTGGAAAAAGAAATGGCATTAGAAACCAGCCAAATACCTGCAGTTTATGGCCATTTGAAAGGTGAAGCTTAGATGATGCTCTCTAATGGTCTTTTTAATATGATAGGTGTGCCCACGTTCCAAGACCAGATAAAGCTAAACTGTTAAAGGAAAAAAGTTATATTTTGAATATATGTCTACATCTGTGGATCTGCTTATTGCTGACATTTTGTGACAAGATTTTTGACTTGCTGAGCTCAGAAAGAGTGATGTACAATCATAATATTCATAGGTATATTATAAAATTACCTGCACTGTCATAACATTCATAAATAAAATATCTACCCCCAAAATTGAGCACACAAAAGCTGTGCTTAAATATATTTGGACATTATATACTTAAATAGATGCCTAAAATGTTGGTACATTTAGCAAAAGTCCCTTAGAAGCAGATAAACTATAACTACCAAATGACCTGATGCCTATAGTATATTCAGTGTTATGTCCTTTGCATTATATTTTACAGAAGAGATTAGCTGCTAGAAGGTCTGGATTGCCCAGTAATGAATAAAGCAGGTGCCTTACTTTACAGGGCCTGCTGTACCATACTAATATAATTACATAATAAATAGGACATTTTGACTAGGTTCACACTTGTGTGGGTCCTGCATGCCATGTTCACAAGGGCACAGCAGCCTGTTCATTTGAATGGGCTGCTGTACCTGCAAGAAATGCAGGGAAAAGTTCCCAGCCCTTTTTTTAAAAAACGTGGCTGCGTGGAACCGCATGCAGCTGCAGCTCCGTGTGGCTTCATACACCCAAAAATGTGCCACTTTTTCCAATGGGGGGGTGGGGTACTGTTCAGTTTTAATGGCACCCCTGTGTATTATTTGCTAAAGAACAGTGCGTTTTGCCTGTAGGTCAGGAACAGGCGAGACTGAGCAGGGGTTCCTGACCCACACTAATATCAACCTACCCTTAGGGTGCGTTTTTTTCACCTGTGCTTTCCGGGAATGTGCAAAAAAATGCTCTTCACGCTTGCACCCCAAAAAAAGAAGCACAGATCTGTGCATTCACCCTATGCTACATGTGAATGGGGCCTAAAACAGGCATGCATGCATACTCTGGGAACACAACTATGTGTAGCTTCAAAGAAAAGCAATATTGCAATACATAAAAATGTAATCATTGCTATTTGGGCTTCCAAGCCTTTTTCTGGCTTCTACGTTCCTTTACCAGTTCTGCAGTTTTTGAACTTCAGCAAATAAAGCATCTGTCTTACTTGACTGAAATGCAAAGGACTGCATTTTTTTTTTTGTTACTTTAAGGAGTCATCTACTCCTTAAAAGAAAGATTTTTAGGCGTCAGTAGTATGAAATGATTCTGGTCAAAAGCTGTTGCAAAATTTTACTGCCTTGGAAGTAGTGCCACCCTGCCCCCCAGCTTCCAGGGTTTTTTTAGTGTATTCAATAGGGAATTTCAAATAAACTGGAAACAGTACATTAACCTGTAGCAACCAATCCTTTGTCATCCAATCCTTCTTTGGAATATTTAAATTTTAAATAATAAACTTTGTACATTAATATTACTTTTTTGCACTGCTTTCTGAATCCAGGATTTTCTTAGCATAACTATTGTTAAAGTCTTTGTGATGTTGCCTAATGATTTAAAAAACTTTAGCTGAGCTAAGAGCCTTAGCACATGTGCCAAATACCCCCTCTGATATGGCATTTGCTGTCAGAGGAGGTGAAATGTTAATGACGTTTTCAAGACTTATGTAAAACACAAACCTCATCCTGCTGCTTCCAGTTTAAGTAAAATATCAGTTTATGTTAAGCTGTACTTGTTTGTTATCATTATGTGCATGTACAAGCTAGTCTTTGCTTTTTGCATTCTATAAGGTCTTTATCATTATGAAATGCTGTGCATGACGCCTTGTGCTAAATAACATTAACATAAGGTCAACCATTTGTTCGCCTTTCATCCTTGCAGTTACTTCAGCCTTGCAACTGTCAGTGAGCCTGCTTTTTGTTTTTTCATCCTTGTCTGACTTTTTCATTTCTTACGCTGGAATAAAAAGTCAGCAGTGCCAATACACCATGTAAATGTTTTATGTCTTGTTTTCTTGTAAGGTACAATGGTCTCATCTGGCATCCCTCAAGAACAATGTTTCCCCTGTCTCGCGATCCCATTCCTTCAGTGACCCTTCTCCCAAATTTGCACCTCATCATCTACGTTCTCAGGAACCTCACCCACCCCCCCGCAGTGATGTTCTAAGTCAAAGTTCTGACCCTAAGTCTGAGGCTCCTGAGCCCAACCAAAGGGTTTGGGCTCGATCAGACAGTGAAGAGGTGCCTCCAAGGGTAAGGAGTAGAAGTAGTAATTACGAAGCTCTTGTACATGCAGGTAGAGGTAGCACCTGAAACCAATAGAGAATGTTTGTGCATGGTGGATGTTAAAATCATATGAGTGACCTCCATGGTTGTTTTTCTCCAGAATAGCTATGTACACTTAGTGCTGATTCACACACATGTGCAGTGCAGATTGAAGCTCAGGTTTCACAGCTAATTGACACAGTATCTGTTCAGGTCAGGTTTTCATCAGGTTCAGGACAGGATTAGCTCAGGATTTTATCCTGTTCACATATATCAGGTTTAGAAACGGCTCTCACAGAAGTCAATAGCCTGTAATCTGCACCTGAACCGGTCCGCACTTTTATTTTTTTTTAAAGTGCACTGAATCTGCATTGGCAGTGCACCCGACATATGCGGACAGGCACCATAGGAAGCAATGGTATTTCACATGTCATGTAGATTGGATGCAGTTTAAACTGCAACCAATCCGCATATATGTGAACAGGCACTTAGTGTACAGTAACTGCAGACTGTTTTCATGATATTTCTGCAGTTAGTATGTAAATCATACATGAGTTGTCATTCTGCAGCTGATAGAAATTTAGCAGAGCTTCTTTTTACATGGGTACTCCTGAAGTACAGGTTTTCCTGTTTGTTTTGTCTGACAGTGCTAGCTAGGTATAATTTGATCATTTTCAGAAGTTTTTCATTCTACAATATTTAGAACAGAAGCCTTTGCCCTCTGGTATACTATGATGTTTGTGTTTAAACTGTATGACCCTTTCACCTAATACTGAAATGATTTGAACCTACAGAAAAAAGTGAGCTTTGTTCATTGTATGTACTTCGGCCTGTTCATCTGTAAATCCATACACCTAGCCTGAAGTACTTCAGTATAGTTTCATTTAGACCTCCACTTCTGTTTCTTTGGTTTATGCCCATTATGTGATGTCATGCAAGTGTCAGTAGGCATGCTTAATGTTTCATGGCTGTTATAATAAAGTTGTAGGGAAGGATTTTTTTTTTTTTCAAGCTACTGTGACAGGTATGTGTGCATCTCTCACATGCTTTACACAGCTAATGTATGCTGCTACACGTCCTATGTTGGCTTTGCTGCTTTTTACTATGTAATTTTCATGATGTTGCTTCAGCTATTCAATTCATTACCACTATACTGAGACTGAAGCAACTCTTTCAAACAAAACATCACAATTATCACCAGTACAACATTAAGCTCTAGTCTGTTAGCTTGGTTACTTAATGCCCAGTTTAACCAAATTTATTAACATTTAGTGAAAAACTTACTGTGAGCTGCTGGTATGTTGATTAATAATGACTTGCTATTTTCCCCTTAACATACCAAGAAATTCTATGCTTATTTCTTTTATTGGCAAAGGTGCCTGTAAGGACAACATCAAGATCCCCTGTGTTGTCTCGAAGAGATTCCCCTCTGCAGGGCAGCGTGCAACAGAATAACCAGGCTGGACAGAGGAATTCCACAAGGTACGTAACATTTGCTTGGAGGGGTGTGTTATCCTAGGTTGGTGCTGTTTCTTCTGTATTAGTGCCGATAGATTGAAAACAGTGAGACAAGCACAACAGCCGTCCTATTGGAAAATCAAACATTTCTGCTTTCACTGTAGATTTATGAAAGGATGATTTTCCACATTCTCACATTGTTACTTACAAACCTACTGTAAAATATTGATTGTCCTGAGATGATATGTTTAAATTCATGCTAAGAAATGAAGGTGGATGGCTCCATGGTTGGTGTTTTTTTTCTTTTTTGGTTTTTTTTTTTGTTTTGCATAACAACCTTGAATGAAAATGGCTTTTATTCAGGCTTTGTACCAGGTGATGGACACAACATTCCTACAACTTTGAAGGTGCAAAATATTTTTTCTTTTAGGGATGCACTGATGCCTTTTTTTTTTTTTTTTATATTGGGGAGTATGAGTATCGATACTTTCAGTCAAGTACTTACCGAAACTTTGTGGTGCGATTTGTGTCCATACAAAAGGAATGGGCGCAAATCGCAGTGCAAGAAATGGCATGCAATTTGAACAGGAATGTAGTGCCATTCCTGTACTTATTGCATATGGTTTACCCACCGCTCCTGTGTGAACCCAGACTTCTGATTGGTCAGCACCGTCATGGTGCAGAGATGTTTCCCGCACCGCTTGTGTGAACTCTGGCTATGACAAGCCTGGGTTCACATAGGAACGTTGGGGAAACCACAAGCAATTCGGATTGCAATGGCACAGCATTCCTGTTCATATCGCATGCCATTCTTTGTAGTGTGATTTGTGGCAATTAATTTTGTATGGACGCAAACCGCACAACAAAGTATCAGTTTCAGGTATTGCAAGCATTTTCATGAGTACTCGTACTCATGAAAATACTCAGTGTCGTAACCGATATTGGTGCATCCCTAATATTTTTTTTTTTTTCTTGTGACACAAACCGTAATTTTGTGTGCATATTTAATCGCTTCTTTGTTATTAAACCCTTAAGATAAGAAGTCCCATAATTTGATGATTATGTAAGGCCCACCTCTGTACAATCAAACTGTCACATGATCTGCCACGTGAGGGGGAGATTTACTGAAACTGGTGCACTTGGTATCAGGGGAAGCTGTACATGGTAGCCAATCAGCTTCTAACTTCAGTTTGTTCAGTTAAGCTTTGACAAAACCTGAAGCTGATTGGTTTCTGTGCAGAGCTGCACCAGAGATTGCACACTCCAGTTTTAGTAAATAACCTCCATTGTGTCAGTATAAATACAATGCATCTTTTCTGAAAGGCTCCTGAGTCTACAACACCATTAAGCAACTAACATGAACACCAAGACACTTTCCAGACAGGTCAGAGGAAAACTTGTGGAGAAGTATAGATAATGGCGGGGTTAGATAAAAAAAAAATCCAAATTTTAAACTTCCACAGAGAATTGTTATATCCATTGTAAGAAAATGGAAAGACCACTGCAACCTTGATGAGAAGACCACTCACCAGAATAGGCAAGAAGGGCATTAATCATAGATGCAACAAAAACTTTAAAGGTAACACTGAAGGAGTTGCATAGATCCACAGAGGAGATGGGGAGTATCTGTCTATGGCGTGGGGCTTTATGGGGAAGAATGACCAGAAAAAAAGCCATTTCTTAAAGAAAATAACACAAGTTTAGGGTTCGCCAAAGAGCATGTTTGACATTCCCTAAATAGATGGAAGAAGGTTCTCTAGTCAGCAAAGACTAAAATTTAATTTTTTTTACTATTGTGGGAAACACTGTGTGGAGCACTTCCCATCACCCTGAGAACATCATCCCCACAGCAAAGCATGTTGGGGGAGAAATCATGTTGTGGGCATTTTCTTTATCACCTGGCACTAGAAAACTGGTCAGGATAATTATCTAACTTGAAGGTGAGTACTTATACACACTCAGGATTGGTTCTTTATTTCATTATAAAACTTATTTTGCACTTCCAACGTCATAAGCATGTTGTATACATCACATGGTACAAAGCCCCCCAAAAATCCAGTTTGTAATATAATAAAACAGGAAAAATGTCAAGGTGGTGTTGCCTTTTAGAAGGCACTGTACTTCTGCTATGCAGTATGCTTTTAAAGAAAGTAATAATGAAAATAGGCTAGCCCTCAAGAAGAGATAGTGGTCTGCACCCATGACCTTACAGTGCCGGGGACCTGGGTTTTATTTCTAGCAGTTACTGGATTTTGTATGGTTTTTCCCTTTGCCTCCAGGTTTCCTGGTTTTCTTACACAATCTAAACATAAAAAAGGATAATTAGTTTCTGATGGGGGTGTGTGTCTTTGCTGGAGGTACATGCATTCAGCTGCGAAACGGGAAACAATGTCACTGTTTCTGCAATATATTTTTTAAAGTGAAATGAAATGTTTACATTAAAGGAAGTCTTAAAAAGGCAATTTTAAGGAAGACTGGCCAGGCTATGAATTTTTAAATTCACATATTCATAGCAAGTTCTAAAAAAGCTTTAATACTGACTCTGTTGCTAAAATAATGTATAAAACAGTCCCTTTCAAGGAAGATGTTTCATATTTACCTCTTCTACCATACATCTGAGCCCTGTTGCAATGAAAAAAACCTACCACCTGAAGCATCTTCAGAATTTCTACTCCCCCACTGAGCTTGGTGGTTTGATCCACCGGCTCCTACATCACTACTGTGTCCTGATGTAGCTTCATAGCCAGGAGAGGAACTATAGTGTGCAGTAGGGGCAACGGGAATTGTGATCATCCCTAACCTAGCAAATAGACTTTCAGAACACTTTTTTGTGTAGGATTTTTCCAGAGCTTCATTGCACTTAGGGCTTTACAAAAGTGTACATATTTACTTCAGAAACATTTTTTTTTAAACTATAAATTTACTTTAAAAAGATGTTTGGGGGATAGTGAACAGCTGGGCTCTAGTTATTTTTTTCCAAACACACTGTAATAAAGTGTTCATATTTAAAAGATAACCAAAGTGTTTTGATATTAAATTGTGCTCAGCTTGGATTATCCTAAAATCTTTTGTTTCCTTTTAGCAATATCGAGCCCAGGTTGCTTTGGGAGAGGGTAGAGAAACTTGTGCCCAGACCGGGCAGTGGCAGTTCTTCCGGGTCAAGTAACTCTGGTTCTCAAGCAGGATCACATCCAGGATCTCAGAGTGGATCAGGAGAGCGCTTCCGCATGAGATGTAAGTAACAGCTTTGCATGTGCTTTGCTTGTGTTTTAAAGTAATGGTGCCTAGAAGGGGAAAAAAAAAGCTGAAAATTTGTCCTTTGGATGTTAGTATCCTGTAATTGCTAAAGGTGCTCTGTTGGGTCTCCATTAAAAATGTAGTTCCCATATTCAATTGAAAACCACTTTGGGAAAATATTCTACAACTTTTGGCAGGCTAAAGCAGGTTTCCTAGTGCATAGGAAATCCTATACCCTGGAAAACCCTTCAAATTTTGTCCAAAGCTAAAATCACTATAGTGGTGGTTTTCATGCTGATATAAGACTTTGGTAAATGTCTGAAGTTATGCATTTTCCACATGCATGTGTTCTCAAATGGCTGGTACCATTATCATAGTTGATATGCTGCAGGCAGAAGCTGTAAACCATAACAGCTGATGCAGTAAAAAAGGCCCACACTGTAGAGCTTTGTGGACCTGACCTGTTGATAGCACTGCTCCCTCCAGTCCTCTGCAAGCCCCTGGACATGGGGGTGTTTCTCTGCAGCAGGGTTTGAAGCACTTGTCAGGATAGAAGGAAAACAGGATGGGGAAAAATACCATCAAATGCTTGAGTAATCACTGCTGCCCTCTGCCAGAAAGTTGTCAATGGGAAGGTTTACCTTCCAACATGACAATGACCCAAAGCACACAGCTAAAATGACTACACAGTGGTTGAAGGAGAAAAAGGTGAATATCCTTGCATGGCCTAGCCAGAGCCCAGACTTGCACCCAATTTAAAATTGTGGATTGACTTGAAGACTGCAGTCCACACAACAGTTGCCATCAAATTTAACTGAACTTGAGCAGTTCCGCAAGGAAGGGTGGGCAAATATTGCAAAGTCTAGATGTGCAAAGTTAGTAGAGACATATCTCAGCAGACTAAAGGCTGTAATTAAAGCAACAGGTGGTTCAACAAAATACTGACACAGGGGGTGATCCTTTTTCCAACTCTGTGATTCTGTTTTTGAATTAAAAAAAAACATTTTTTCTGACATGTTTGGTGTTGTATCTTTCACTTTGGATGTTATAAATTGCCCTGAGTAAATACAGCTAGATAAAACAAAAACTATATGTCTTTGTTTCAGGCTGCAAAGCAACAAAATGTGATTATATTAAAGGGTGTGATTATTTTCTATACCCACTGTGGCTCCTGCACATGTTGTAGCTATAACGCACATCTGCTCTGGGATCTCTCAGATAGAAAAGACATGTCTTGATTCTAGATGATGCAGCTTGACCACCACCTGGGGATGAAGAACCACCCAACTATTTTTTTTTTTTATCTATCGGAGAAAAAAAAATCTGCAAAACATGGAATAAAAGTAAATGTAAAAATCCCCAATAAAAAAAAACACAAAAAAAACCTGCAAGGGTGTGGCCCAGCACCTACAGTTTTCTTGATGCACACAAAATAGTAGTCCTAAAAATGACTGTTGGGGTTTCTAAACTGTGAACACGGGAGGGTAGAGCAGAGAAACCGCTGCTTGCCCAACCCTATCTTGGATTCTTTGCCCTACTCTTCTCAAATTACTGCATGAGTGATATCGTGTGCCAGCACTGCTATTACTGAGTACCAAAGGGACAGAGTATCTCTGCTTGGAGTGGTACCATTAAGTTTAGTTCACTGTAAACACAGGAGTACACAAAAAATATGTAGCCCACCACACTGCAATTCAGTTATTTAATGCATTATAGCACAGTATAGAACTTTACAGCAAACAACTCTCCTTACACAAACTGTTAGCTCTCCCTAAACTACTCTAACACACACTAACAAATGGCTATTAGGAACCACCCTTTGTATAATAAGGGGGGCTGTCCCATAGCAAAGAACCTAATTTTGGCCAACTATGTTGATCACAGTGAAAAGGTAAAGGAGTTCATGGTTACAAAGAAATCGGCCTTGCGAATGTCCACATTTATTCCATGGGACTTCTAATTATGTAAAAATATTCACACATTGTCAGTTTAGGGACCCCATTCACTTTGCTGCAGTGCCTTATCGTGTATTGCGTTAGAGCAGCCCATTCATTTGTCTTGCTCCTACACTTTTTTACAAGCAGTGTATTTCGATGCACAGGTGCATTAAAAACAACTGTATAGGCTCTTTGAGTACCCATGTGTTGTTGATCGCACAGCAAAATGCACATTTTACTGCGTGTTACTGCAGCACACATAGGGCCCAAAGGCAGTGTATAGAGCTGTCTCTTATATATTTAAATGAGCAAGTCTGGGGAAAAAAACAAATGTACTCATATGAAGCTCTTTGATATATATGAATAATATCAAACATAAGGAAAGGTATATGAACATTTGATTGGAACTTCACATACAATAATTTCTGCCCATGTGAAGTTTGCTCTGGATGACCGTTTCCTTGTCCATAATTAAGCACTGTCTGTTTTCCTTGTATGTTTTCTCTGCATACCATAGATTTCATTCATGTAATTTCTTGGTATAATAATTTGCCTGTGCTTTAATGATAAAGTTTGGTATACAATACCATCTTTTTGATTATTACTGTGCTTTTTTACTATTTTCTTGTATTTCCGCCATGTCTGCTTGACTAGTCCTTTTTTTTTTTCTTCAATATCAGCATCATCAAAATCAGAAGGATCACCATCCCAGCGTCCTGAGAATACAACCAAAAAACCTGATGAGAAAAAAAGATACTGGAAGACCGGGCAAGCCTTCTGTAAGAAAATCAGCTGTTTAAATTTATTTTTGCATCTATTTATATATCAGGCTATGCCCTTAAAATTTTAGTGTATGTAAAACTGTTGCTGCCTGGGCCCTAAGTAGCCATCTCATTCATTCATTGCAGTCCTAAACTGAATAAGACTGCAATCTTTTGTACTATTGATGAAGGCTATACGTTAAAGACTTATGTAGTTGTGTCCATCAGAGCATGTAATGTGGCTCCCTTGAATATTTGGTCCATTGAATGTGGACTTCTATTTTATTCAAGCTGGGAATGCCTGGTTTCAGTAAAATATACAGACACTGTCATTAATTTGCTTTACAAGATATGTAAGTGCTTTATGGACTTTTCAGGACCTGTTTGTTGTGTTGCCACCCCTTTGTCACATTTCTTTAGAAAATTCCATGCTCTAAGATTGTTACTGTGTCCTGTAATCTACAATTAAAAAAAGGTTTTTTTTTTTTACTTGCCTATGAAAATCCTTTTCTTAGATACACTACATAATATAGGTCATTCCTCTTTGTTCCTTATGATTCAACGCCTTATTGCTTGCCAAAAAACTGAGGCTTGCTGGAAGTAGGAGGGGTTATGGTGAGGCTGTTTTTTAAGCTTTGTTTGCCAGTGTTCACTTAAGACTTAAAGGCAAAACTATTTTAATAATAATTGTAAAGATTTTCCCCATTTGTTTGTGACCCCATTGGGCTTGAAATTAGATGGTTTTCATCAACCAAGTGGAAAATGAGCTGGACTCTTGTTGGTTCAAAGTAACATTTACCACAAGTTTAACAATTTTCTAAAGATTGATGCATTTTAATTTAGATGGGTATGTGATTTACTTTTCCACTGACACAATTTTTCTTTAATATGTCTTCCATGATTTCTTCTGCTGTGTTCGTCAAATATGGGGCAACTTTATTCTCTGTTTGGGTATATCCAGGGAGAAGTGGTAAGTAGAATAAATACTGAATTATGCAAAACATTAAAAAAATTAGAGTATAGTTTTGTGGCAAAAAAAAAAAAAATTGGCTTGTTCATATCTATTTACTTTTAATGCAGCCTACACATGCTGATAATAGCATAAAACAGCAATTTCTTTGTTGTCTTACCAGCTCTGATTGCTTTGCTTGTATCCCACAGTGGTGTAGCATGACTTATTGCTGGTCAGCTGCATTTTGGAAAAAAATGGATTTTGGACCTCTGTAATAACTACGAATTATGTTAATACACAATTAAAAACTCCAATAGGCTGAACATGGTGGCTAAGTATTTACTAGTTTGTGTTTAGGCCTCCTTGTTTTGTGCTTTCAACCCCTGTTTTTGTGAATGAACACAACACAGCTGTTTAGGGGGACACACGTGCGCTTTTCCCACCAGACTGGCCAGGCTCTGAAATATTCCTTCATAGATCCAACCCCAACAATCCTTGAAAGTTGGTATTTGACAGTGTTCATGCCTGGCAATTGGTTAGGCACTAAGCACTGCATTGTAGGAGGCAAGGGGGAGTATGTGGGCACACCTCATGCCCCAAAGTACCAGGTTTCACAGGGCTGTATTGGTGAATTGAGGTGGGTAGTAACTGCAGTATAGCATAGTGACCATGTTAGCTTTAATTGATATTAAAGGCAATTTAAGAAAAAAAAAAATTGCCTGCTCTGGGCAGTGGTTTTCCACAGAGCAGCCCCAATCCTCCTCTTCTTGGATTCCCTGCTGGGTCTCCTGGCCCCTACCCCCTTGCCTCATTCCCCCAGAGCAAGCAGCTTGCTATGGGGGCACCCAAGCAGGCTTGCTCCCAAGCTGCTGCTCTGCATGTCCATTCACACACAGAGCCACAGCTCGGCCCCACTCCCCCCTCTCTTTATTGGCCAATGGCTCCTGCTGCTGTTTAAGCCAATGAGAAGGTAGAGTATTCAAATAAAGTGCAGCGCTTACAACATTTCAAACAGAAATCATGGTAAAAATTTGAAAAGTAATTAATCTCAAAGTGTTCATAAGTAAAATATTGCATGGTGAAATCCAAGCAGAACCATCCTAAATGCTGTGATGAGATCAGAAGACTTCCAAAGATAGCCAATGTGACACCAACCACTTGCATGCAAGGCTTACCAGAAGGTATGTGACCCCCTGCTAAGAGTGGTCAATCTGTGCTTTTATGGGATGTTACTGGGGACATCAAGAGAAATGGATGGTTAACTCATCCTCTGGATACCCAAAAAAAAAGACAGGTAATCCTCCTAAGCCGATATCCCTGTATATTATGGCTCCAATCAATCCAAAATGATTTGTATGAAACCAGAGCCAGGAAAAAGCCAGAAGAAATATGAAATGCCAAGACTGTGAAAACCTTGCATGCGAGTGGTTGATGTCACATTGGCTATCTTTGGAAGTCTTCTGATCTCATCACGGCATTTGGGGACAATTCTGCTTTGATTTCACCATATATTTCATTTATGAACACTTTGAGATTATTTATGCTTTTTCACATTTGTATCATGTTTTCTGTTTGAAATGTTTTAAGCACTGCACTTAATTTGAACACTGTTTGAGGTGCCTGATATCAAGGTGTCCAGCTGCTACATATTGGTGTCTTATATTGAGGAGGGATAGTACCAAAGCTCTCGTGCACATCTCTGGATTGCGATAGGGCTCAGGTAATTATTAGGGGGGTTGAGGGGGCTGCTGCTCACAGAAGCTTTTTTTATTTATTTAATTTTTAATTTTGTGCCTTTACAACCACTTTAATTTCAGTCAAGTACTGTTTTGTTTAGTTTAAAAATGCCATTAGTACATAAATGTGCATCATTCTCTGGCTGAAACGTGTGTTTGTTTTTTTATTATGTACAATTAATTTTTTTTTTTTTTTTTTTTTTTACTTTTTCAACCAGGATTTGACTGCTTTGGCAAAAGAACTTCGAGCTGTGGAAGATGTACGGCCTTTGCATAAAGTAACAGACTATTCTTCATCCAGTGAAGATTCTGGCACAACAGATGAGGAGGATGATGACATGGAGCAAGAAGGAGCAGATGAATCAACCTCTGGTCCTGAGGATGCCAGAGCGATGTATGTTCATTCTAACCCCTTACACATTGGTATTTGATAAAGAAAAATTGATTTTCTAGTCAAGTACATGTGCTTGTATGTCTCTCAGCAAAATGACAGGAAGCTGATTGGTTTCATTGGCCAGTGTCTCCACTTTCATATTTCTTTATGGAATACTAATTTTAGTGGTATCGGGTTTTTCCAGTCATGTGTCAGGTTGTTTGGAAGTTTAACATTTGCTTTGTATCCCTTGCAATACTTTTCAGGTCCTCACTGAATCTGAGTAATGGAGAGACTGAATCTGTAAAAACAATGATTGTCCATGATGACGTGGAGAGTGAACCTGCCATGACTCCTTCCAAAGAAGGCACTTTAATCGTCCGACAGGTATAACCCCTAGTCTGTAAAAGAAAAAAAAAAAAAAAAAATATAACCTAGCCATCTCTTCCATCCATTCTGTTCATTCCCTTGCATTCTGTCTTCTGTGATATGTTGTAGCAGTTAGCATCCATTCATTATGGCAGGCCTTTGTTGTTTCTGTGCATGAGCAGTAGATAGATTAAGTCCTTTCATTTGCTGCTTTCTGCATGTTTTGCACAGGCGCACTCTACTAACTTCCTAATAAGCCAGTGGTTTTCTGAACCAGAAGACTGTGCAGAGCTTAATAATAAAGCAAGCACAGAGCAGACTTTTAGTAATCAGTCCCATAAGTCCTTTGAGGAAAAGAGGATTAATCTGGCATTTCCTTTATAACACTAACATTTTGAATTGGTGCCTAAACTGTTATACACAATACTAGCTTTTGCTTCAGAAAATGCAGTTTGTAAACATATGACTTCATGCTTACTGGTCCAGCATCTTGGTCAAGGGTGTTAGCATCCCAGTACTTTGAATGCACTCCACTAAATATCCACCTAACATTTTAAATAGTACAGTCACGAGACTGCATAACAATTGGTTTTTCTGCCTTAGCATTCAAAAGCCATTGTAAGTGAACTGAAGAAGAAACAAAATTGGCTTTTTATCATAAAACCCTTCACCTCTTACTGTGGCCTCAAGACATGAAGTTACTTGGCAGCCCTGACTGTCCTACCCCTTTTAGTAATGTGAATTGTAATCCAACTTTTAGAATTTGCCAGGGATAGTATGTACTAAAGCAGCACTTGAACGAGACAAGTGTGACTGTTTTTTCTACAGAGTACAGTTGACAAAAAGCGTGCCAATCAACTTGAGAGCAATGGCTTTGCCGGGCGCATTCACCTCTTGCCAGATCTCTTACAGCAAAGCCATTCCTCCTCCACCACCTCCTCCCCATCCTCAAGTCAGCCGACACCTACCATGTCCCCACAGACACCCCAGGACAAGTTAACTGCTAATGAGGTATGTCTGACACTAGCTGGCTGCTTACTTAGAAAATAGGGTGGTGACACAGTGTCTGGTGACATGCTTCCCTGTTAACACCACTCTAAACTTTTTTTTTAGGTTGTGCAAAACTAAACACTCTCAGCCTATATTCATATGTTGCACTGTCATCTGCATGTCTTTACTGTCCACTAAATAGTCACTGCACATTACAAAGTTCACTGATTGCGTTTATAGAGTAAGCAGCAGTGGACCTGTTTCATGTTTTCTCTGTGTTGTTCGAAACTCCTCACTGCACTTGTTTCACTGTATTGTATGTATGTGTGCGTTTTGTTAGTGTTCCTTATCTGTATAGATCGGTAGGATGATCATGTGGGGAGCATAATTTTTAAATTTCGATTGTTTGTAGAATTTTTTTGCTCTTTGAAAAAAACCCTAAGAACCGATTGACATGAATGGGACTGCCTGCACAGGGGTGCACAGAACTCCTGTGCATCCCTATGCAGGCAAACACAGCCCTTGCACAGGTGTACGCTGTAGTATGCTGGTGTGAATAAGGCTTAATGGGGGGACACAGTTCCACAGAACGAAGTGTAAGCATAAAACTATTTAGAGCTCCGAATGAATCATTGGTGCTTTGTGCACCCACTACGCATTTTCTCTTTCCCTCGCTATAGGTTGCTATTGTTCATTTGCATCTGTTGACAGCAACAACCTCTCCATTTAGGCTCCCTATATCTCAGGAGCACTGGTGAGGGTTAGCAACACACAGGGAGCACTGCTTTATATTGGCTGTGTGTATGAGACCTGAGAAATATTTTGGCAATAATTCGTCTAGGACTTTTGCAATGTATTACACCATCACTTAGATTGGTGCAAGATGAGTGATATCCCAATACATTTGTTTGCCACTAGTAACTGTTTTCAGAGCAGCATCTTTTAATAGAAGCAGTTAGTTTTACTATTGAACTGAGAGGCTGTCACACCATCTTCATTCTAGTGCTATAACAGGCTCCTCCATTGATCTTTCCTCTAGCCCTCCTTGTCTTCTAACCATCACCACCGCCTGCATGCTACACCGCTACTGCACAGCCTTTCTGTTTCCAATAGACAATTTACCTTTTACTGGTAGATGACTAGCCTGGGAGCAACCTACTCCCTGGCCTAATAAAATATCTGCTTAGATATTTGAATACGGAATAAGCAGTATAGAAAGTCTAGTAAGAGGACTCTTGCATTTTTTTGTATGCAGACATTCTGGGGGTATTTGCTAAAGCTGGAGAGTGCAAAATCTGGTGCAGCTCTGCATGCCAATCATTCAGCTTTCAGGTTTTATTGCCAAAGCCTAACTGAACAAGCTAGAAGCTGATTGGCTGCCGTATACAGCTGCACCAGATTCTGAGTGCTCCAGTTTTAGTAAATCTACCCCTCTGTGACCATTTTTGGTTATGCACTGCATGTCATCTGTGTATTTAAGAAGTGTTTCAGAATTGGGCAGCTTTAGTTTGTTCATATTGCCAAAACTGTAAATGATTGAGCCAGCTGAATTTGAGCACAAATCAGGTTCAAATGAGCAAAACACGGCAGGAGTGGGCAGACCAAATTTTGCTTGTTTCTCAGGCTACAAACTTTGTCAAGTTCATAAATTGTTTTCTTTAGCTTCGAAATGCTCTTGAGCGCAAATGGATTTCTTGTTCTGTATGTATCTGTTTCACTATGAGCTGCTGGCTAATTAAACTATTGCTTTGGGTTATTTTAAGCATCTCATATTCTCCTTCTTGCTTCAGTGTTGAGCTTGTGATTTGCCTTATGATCCCTGCAACACCGCTCTTCCTCTTGTTTGTGCCAGCTTCATCTGCAAGAAAAAGTTATTGGTGCATTTCATCCAATGTTCTTTAACTAATGCCATAATAAATCACTGTGTTGAATGTCTTGTGTTAAGTATTACATTCCACATTGACTTACACTGACCTTTTGAACTGTCATGGTTGGGTTTTTCCATTTATCTAGCTTCCAGATATTTTCTCTTGAAGCAGGTGCAAGTTGTGCCTTCACGGTTATTTTAATTTTATAACTTGCAGAAATAATTTCTTATCAATTTGTTTTTTTTTTTTTGGCAAAACCAAGTTTTGCGAATGGAAAATTTGTTTAATTAATTGGTAATGTTCATTGTATATTTGGGCTTAAAAATTTAGCACATCTCTGCAGCAATTTCACATTTCTCCCCAGAAATCCAATAAGGGCCTAGCTCCGTGGAGTATGTTGACAACACAGGGCCATTGCTAAATGCCCAAGCAATGTTTTTAACTCTACTTGAATTCTCCTCTGCTGAACTACAATTACACCCTCCTCCTTATTGCCAAAGCATAAGGGGGAAGGGTGGCTTGTAGTCCAGGAGGGAAGAACTCTGACAAGGTTCACAGCACTACTTGACATGTCGCTGCAGAGAAGAACAAAGCAATGGTTTCTGCCCTGCTTGAGTTCGCCTCTGCTGAATTACAATTACCCCTCCCCATATCTCCATAACATAAGTGGGAGGTGTCCTGTAGTCCAGAAGGGGAGAACTCAGACAAGGTTCACTGCACTGCTTGAGACTTCAGTGCAGAAGATTTTAGCTCACAATGCAGAGTAAGAAGCTCATTGCATTTTCAGCAGGATGAACATATATTTTTGTGTTTAATATGTGCATGTATTGCCGTGATGTGCTTTAACTTTTTCTTGCCCAGACATACAGTTTAAGTTCAGTACTCTAGTTCCGCTTCTATAGTGCAAAATTTAGTCACATTTTAGCAGACAGATGGCGCTATGAAATCATCTTCCAACACAGTGATGACTTGCACTGAAGAGTTTCGATTGCAGTAGTTTGCTAAAATGCAGAGGTTTAGGAACATTTTATTTATTTTAATGCAATACAGTACCATTCATATCAGTGTTACAGGAAATCTAAAAATACTACAGTTAGACATTTAGAGGAGAAAAAAATAATGTATTTTTTTTTTTTTGGGTGAGTTATTAATTTTCTTAACATTTTACCAAAGTTCCCTTCGTTTTCCCCTATTTAATGTTACCTATGTACCCAAAATTCTGTAGTCTTTGTGTATGAAGATACCGGACAAAATAATCTCAGTAGATAAAGCAAGTCTAGTGTACGTGTAATAGTTTAGGCAATTCCAAACACAGCAGTGTAGAATTTGCATAAAGACATATACATTTTCCACCCTAATTTGAATTAAAATGCTCCTATTTAAGCAGTTAATGAGGTATAGAAATTATAATCTATATGCCAAGCATAGGTCTTTTATTTTTAATAGTAGAATGTAACCACTTCACCAACTTCCACCTTGCGCGGTATCAAAATTATATTAGACTTTGATGTTCACTTATATTGTTTTTGCTTTGCTTTAGACTCAGTCAGCAAGTAACACCCTCCAGAAACACAAATCTTCCTCCTCCTTCACACCATTTATTGATCCTCGGTTACTACAAATATCTCCGTCCAGTGGTTCAACTGTGACTTCAGTGGGTAAGTGTCCTCCTTTTAGCACTAAGCATTTGTTCACCCTGTACCATTGCTACATTAAGTGCTATATAGTGACTGGTGTTTCAGAAATGAAGTTCTTTCTGATTAACAATAATTAGATTCTAACCTGAAAGCAAATATAGAGACACTATAGGTGTTAGGCATGTTCTCATAACCATATATATTACTGATGTGTAGCTGTATTGACATACCCAATCTGCTTAACCTCTCTTCTGATTTCCTGTAAATATAGTATGTGTTCTTGTGCTCCAGGCTAACGGCTACCCTGCTTCTAACAACCTTTACATTATCGTTGACTATACCAAACATAGGCAGGAAAGAAGCCTTCCTCATTAGCTGTGCAGTGAAAGAACTCTGGTATCGTGTTTAGCAGCTGCCTACGGCAGTACCCATCAGTGAAAGATCATGATGTTCAACATATTTTGCCTTGCTTTACTAGTTGTCTCACCGAGTTGTACGTGGTCACTGTCACGTGACCAGAAATGTATTTCAGTTCTATCTTTTGGATATGACAAAATCGCATCTAACCTTTATTTCTACACCCCCTGTGCGTTGCTGGCTACACTGTCAGTAAAGGTTTGACTCCAAATTGCATGCAGAGCTGAGCCCTTCCGTTTTTTTTTTTTTTTTTTTTTTTTTTTTTTAAATTATCCCTGTACCTAAACAATATCCGGCATGCTTAATTATGTGGGTCTAATTTCCCTATGGCCTAAATAAACTATTTACCAATAGCGGCTGGCCAGATATCAGCCTTACTTAAATGTCAACTTTCAGTTTATTTTGTGTTAATGTAGGTCCATCTGCGTCACTCAGTCCCATTAGTGGTGTCTGCCTCCCCCCACCCTGCTTGCTATGTGCAGTGTTAATAAAGCTGGCAATGAAACGATGAGGTTTTGTCATTGAACATATAACCGCTTATATCTTTCAGGTACTTACATGCGCACACACTGGAAGCTAACCTTAAAAAATACTAATTTTATTTTAGTGGGATTTTCCAGTGAAGCGCTGAGGCCAGATGCTATGAGACAAGATCCTACACGGAAAGGATCAGTTGTTAATGTTAATCCCACGAACACAAGGCCACAGAGTGACACACCTGAGATTCGCAAATACAAGAAGAGATTTAACTCTGAGATATTATGTGCAGCTCTGTGGGGTGAGTTCTTTTATCAACATATGGTATTTAAATGAACAGTCTTATTTAGAACCAGCTACATTGCATTTGCTAGCATAATTGCAAGTGGTCTTGTATAAACATACCTTGACTTTTCTCTGCATAAAGTTACCGTATTTTTCGCTCCATAAGACGCACCTGACCATAAGACACACCTAGATTTTAGAGGAGGAAAACAAGAAAAAATTCTGAACCAATGGACTGCAGATATAGTACAGGAGGTGACCAGAGACTGCGGACACAGTACAGGAGATGACCAGAGACTGCGGACACAGTACAGGAGATGACCAGAGACTGCGGACACAGTGCAGGGGATGACCAGAGACTGCGGACACAGTACAGGAGGTTGACTAGAGACTGCGGACACAGTACAGGAGATGACCAGAGACTGCGGACACAGTACAGGAGATGACCAGAGACTGCGGACACAGTACAGGAGATGACCAGAGACTGCGGACACAGTACAGGAGATGACCAGAGACTGCGGACACAGTACAGGAGATGACCAGAGACTGCGGACACAGTACAGGAGATGACCAGAGGCTGCGGACACAGTACAGGAGATGACCAGAGAGGCTGCGGACACAGTACAGGAGATGACCAGAGACTGCGGACACAGTACAGGAGATGACCAGAGGCTGCGGACACAGTACAGGAGGTGACCAGAGGGCTGCGGACACAGTACAGGAGATGACCAGAGCGGACACAGTACAGGAGGTGACCAGAGACTGCGGACACAGTACAGGAGATGACCAGAGGCTGCGGACACAGTACAGGGGATGACCAGAGGCTGCGGACACAGTACAGGAGGTGACCAGAGACTGCGGACACAGTACAGCAGGTGACCAGAGACTGCGGACATGGTACAGGAGGTGACCAGAGACTGCAGCCCTTTGGGAAGGGGGCCTGATACCTGAATTTGACAGGTACCTGCTCCCACTTCGCGGCTGTGAAGCCGCAAGCTGCCACAGCCGTTGCCCACACTGAAGATGCCGGGGAGAGAAGATGACCGAGGAACAGGTAGGACGGAGGAGCGGGTTCTTCTGCACAGTAGAGCTGAGCGGCCGGCCCGGTATACTGACATGGCGGCGGGAATATCGGGTCGGCTGCTCCAGATTCGCTCCATAAGACGCACAGACCTTTTCCCCCATATTTTTTTGGGGGGAAAAAGTGTGTCTTATGGGACGAAAAAGATAGTCATATTCTAAAATGTCACATACAGTTACACAGGAAAGAGTGCTGCGTAAAAACAGTAGTGTTCTCTTTATTTATTTGGCACAAAAAGGGTTAGGAAGAACATGCTTGTATAAAATTTGTGCATATAGAACATGCGCTGAAATTATTTGAATGCTTATGTAGTTGGATATATTTCATGTTACTTTGGCTAATTAATTGGACTAAAGTAAATCTATTTAAAGGAGAATTTTGCTCTAATATATAAAGAATTATAGGTTGAACATTTCATAATAATTATTAAAACCAGCTGGCTTTCAGTACATGTGTACTTCAGTCTAACCGTTTCTGTCAAAAGGTCATGCTGGAAAACCAGCATTTGATCAGCCAATAGCTGCGAGCGCCGATCAGTGCATTCTGGCCAGGATTGGTTGGGGGAGGGGAGGGGGGTGGAAGAGATCCCTGCATCACGCATTTACTTTCCACCTTCACTGAAAATAGTCAACATGAAAGATCATTATTTTTTCTTTTAATAACTGTCATTTTATTTCTTAGTGCTCTTAACATAATACATTTTTTCCAAATAAAATACCTGCAGCAACTGCTTTACAGTGAACTCAGAATGTGGAAATTTGTTCCTTAAGAGAAGTTTTTAAAAAAATATTTTAGTTCTTTGTAGTCCAGCCTGAAAAAAAACAAGTCACCAGCCACAAAAACTGTAGCTGCTGACTTTTTTTTAAAAAAAGCCACTCACCTGTTTCACGATCCAGCGATTTACTCACCACAGCTGGGTTCACTGGCCATCCTCTGTCCCCAGTGCTGGCATCTTAAGTGTGGGCACCTGGCTGTGACAACTTGTGGCTTCACAGCAGGATGCCCACTGTTCATGCTCTAGTAGCTCTGCACACTGTGAATGGCCAAGCAGTCTTCTGGGACCTGTCATGTCCCAGAAGCCCTCTGCTCCACAAAAGTGATAATTCATCACGGGGAGCAGGGAACAAGTCCTTAGAGCGAAACTTCCTCCTTTTTAGGCGATTATATAGGATATAGATTTAAAAGTCTTCAAATAGGATTCTAGTTTATCAGGGATTGGTTAATGGTTTGTTTCCTGGCTTATTTTGTTGGTGGTGTTTGTGCCATCATAATTGCTTTATTTGCTAGCTTTAAGCTTATTTTTCTGATTATTTTACATAGGGGTTAACTTGCTGGTGGGTACTGAAAGTGGATTGATGCTGCTGGACAGGAGCGGTCAAGGAAAAGTGTACCCCCTCATCAACAGAAGACGCTTCCAACAGATGGATGTCCTTGAAGGCCTCAATGTTTTGGTTACTATATCAGGTAATGTACTACATGAAAAACATGCTCAGGATATGTAGTTTATGCTGCTATATTTTATTATTTGCTAATGATCATTATAAATATAGGCTGATTTATGGTTTGGATTTTGTGAATAATTCAGTAGGTTTAATGTGCTTCTCTTCTTTTCTTCCTAAAATGAACCTGCAAAGATAAAACTATGGGACTTGCCATTGCTTGCTTGTTTGTATTTTTTTTTTTTTTTTTTTTTAAAGATGCAAGCTCTTGGGTTTATTCTTCTGTGGTTTTCATCTTGTGTTTGATGAGTGACAAGTCTTTTCTTTGTGTATATCTTGGAATTTCCAGGAAAGAAGAACAAGCTGCGGGTGTACTACTTATCATGGCTGAGAAACAAGATCCTTCATAATGATCCAGAAGTAGAGAAGAAGCAAGGGTGGACAACTGTAGGGGATCTGGAGGGCTGTGTGCACTATAAAGTTGGTAAGTATCTAATGCTTAATCTTCCCTAATACATTTATCAGTGTGATTGTTTTATTATGAAGCCGGTAGCAGATAGCTGGTATGGAAAACCGGAGATCTGCTGCAATAAGAAGTGGAGTGTTCACTCTCACACATAAGCGCACACACGCTTGCGCTCACTCGCACACACACACGCTTGCGCTCACTCGCACACACACGCTTACACTCCGCTTACTCTCACTCGCACGCGCGCTTACTCGCACGCGCGCTTACTCGCACGCGCGCTTACTCGCACGCGCGCTTACTCGCACGCGCGCTTACTCTCACTCGCGCTTACTCTCACTCGCCCCCCCCCCGCTTGTACTCTCACTCGCCCTCTCACTCCCCCCCCCCCCCCGCCCCCTCTCACTCGCACCGCGCTTACTCTCACTCGCACGCGCGCTTACTCTCACTCGCACGCGCGCTTACTCTCACTCGCACGCGCGCTTACTCTCACTCGCTCACTCGCGCGCTTACTCTCACTCGCACGCGCGCTTACTCTCACTCGCCCGTCCGCCCGCTTACTCTCACTCGCCCGTCCGCCCGCTTACTCTCACTCGCCCGCCCGCCCGCTTACTCTCACTCGCCCGCCCCGCTTACTCTCACTCGCCCGCCCGCCCGCTTACTCTCACTCGCGCTTACTCTCACTCGCGCTTACTCTCACTCGCGCGCGCGCTTACTCTCACTCGCACACGCGCTTACTCTCACTCCGCACGCGCGCTTACTCTCACTCGCACGCGCGCTTACTCTCACTCGCACGCGCGCTTACTCTCACTCGCACGCGCGCTTACTCTCGCTCGCCCGTCCGCCCGCTTACTCTCGCTCGCCCGCTCCGCCCGCTTACTCTCGCTCGCTCGCCCCGCCCGCTTACTCTCGCTCGCCCCGCCCGCCCGCTTACTCTCGCTCGCCCGCCCCCCGCCCGCTTACTCTCGCTCGCCCGCCCGCCCGCTTACTCTCGCTCGCTCTCGCTTACTCTCGCTCGCCCGCCCCAGCTTACTCTCGCTCGCCCGCCCGCCCGCTTACTCTCGCTCGCCCCGCCCGCCCGCTTACTCTCGCTCGCCCGCCCGCCCGCTTACTCTCGCTCGCCCGCCCGCCCGCTTACTCTCGCTCGCCCGCCCGCCCGCTTACTCTCGCTCGCCCGCCCGCCGCTTACTCTCGCTCGCCCGCCCGCCCGCTTACTCTCGCTCGCCCGCCCGCCCCGCTTACTCTCGCTCGCCCGCCCGCCCGCCCGCTACTCTCGCGTCGCCCGCCCGCCCGCTTACTCTCGCTCGCCCGCCCGCCCGCTTACTCTCGCTCGCCTCCGCCCCGCCCGCTTACTCTCGCTCGCCCGCCCGCCCGCTTACTCTCGCTCGCCGCCCGCCCGCTTACTCTCGCTCGCCCGCCCCCGCCCGCTTACTCTCGCTCGCCCGCCCGCCGCTTACTCTCGCTCGCCCGCCGCCCGCTTACTCTCGCTCGCCCGCCCGCCGCTACTCTCGCTCGCCCCGCCCGCTTACTCTCGCTCGCCCGCCCGCTTACTCTCGCTCGCCCGCCCCGCTTACTCTCGCTCGCCCGCCCGCCCGCTTACTCTTACTCGCCCGCCCGCCCCGCTTACTCTCGCTCGCCCGCCCGCTTACTCTCGCTCGCCCGCCCGCTTACTCGCTCGCACCCCGCCCGCCGCTACTCTCGCACGCCCGCCCGCCCGCTTACTCTCGCCGCACCCCGCCCGCTTACTCTCGCACCCCCGCCCGCTTACTCTCGCACGCCCCCCCGCTTACTCTCGCACGCCCCGCCCGCTTACTCTCGCACCCGCCCGCCGCTTACTCTCGCACGCCCGCCCGCTTACTCTCGCACGCCCGCCCGCTTACTCTCACACGCCCGCCCGCTTACTCTCACACGCCCCGCCCGCTTACTCTCACACGCCGCACCGCTTACTCTCACACGCCCCGCCCCGCTTACTCTCACACGCCCGCCCGCTTACTCTCACACGCCCGCCCGCTTACTCTCACACGCCCGCCCGCTTACTCTCACACGCCCCGCCCGCTTACTCTCACACGCCGCCGCCCGCTTACTCTCACACGCCCGCCCGCCGCCTCTCACACGCCCGCCCGCTTACTCTCACACGCCCGCCCGCTTACTCTCACACCGCCCGCCCGCTTACTCTCACACGCCCGCCCCGCTTACTCTCACACGCCCGCCCGCTTACTCTCACACGCCCGCCCGCTTACTCTCACACGCACGCCCCGCCCGCTTACTCACACACGCACGCCCGTTTAAAAATTAACGGTGCACAGTGTAATGTCTAGCTAGTTTGGTAGGTTGGAGAAGTGCCTTGCCATCCAAGGTTAGTGGGCCACACAGTGTAGGGAGAGGCATCTCTAGTCCCTGCATGCAGAGTTGTTTCCATAAGAAAGGAGACACCCTGAAATAGGAAACCTGGGGCAGTAGTCATAGAACCAGCTTAAAACCTTTAAAGCATATCTTAAGTAAAAATTTTAAATTGTATATTAATTTACACATTGTATTCAATTTTTTCTAACCTACTCCTAGTAATCTAAATGAACTTTAAGTTTGTAAACTTACATTAAAATCCCCACTTGTTTACGTTCTTGAATGTGATAACACATTTCACTATGCCCTACATTTAGGCACTGCTGTGTCACACAATTCAGAGCCTGCCTTCTAAACAAAAGAGCTGCTGAGGGCAGGAGTTTCAGGAAGCAGGGTCAGTACAGGCAGCAAGGTACCATGGGATATATAGTCCTTAGAATTTGAAAGTAAATAGAGGAGATTTGCAACATATACAGTCAGGTCCATAAATATTGGGACATCGACACAATTCTAAACATTTTTGGCTCTATACACCACCACAATGGATTTGAAATGAAACGAACAAGATGTGCTTTAACTGCAGACTGTCAGCTTTAATTTGAGGGTATTTACATCCAAATCAGGTGAACGGTGTAGGAATTACAACAGTTTGCATATGTGCCTCCCACTTGTTAAGGGACCAAAAGTAATGGGACAATTGGCTTCTCAGCTGTTCCATTGCCAGGTGTCTGTTATTCCCTCATTATCCCAATTACAATGAACAGATAAAAGGTCCAGAGGCCATTTCAAGTGTGCTATTTGCATTTGGAATCTGTTGCTGTCAACTCTCAAGATGAGATCCAAAGAGCTGTCACTATCAGTGAAGTAAGCCATCATTAGGCTGAAAAAACAAAACAAACCCATCTGAGAGATAGCAAAAACATTAGTCGTGGCCAAAACAACTGTGTGGAACATTCTTAAAAAGAAGGAACGCACCGGTGAGCTCAGCAACACCAAAAGACCCGGAAGACCACAGAAAACAACTGTGGTGGATGACCGAAGAATTCTTTCCCTGGTGAAGAAAACACCCTTCACAACAGTTGGCCAGATCAAGAACACTCTCCAGGAGGTAGGTGTATGTGTGTCAAAGTCAACAATCAAGAGAAGACTTCACCAGAGTGAATACAGAGGGTTCACCACAAGATGTAAACCATTGGTGAACCTCAAACACAGGAAGGCCAGATTAGAGTTTGCCAAATGACATCTAAAAAAGCCTTCACAGTTCTGGAACAACATACTATGGACAGATGAGACCAAGATCAACTTGTACCAGAGTGATGGGAAGAGAAGAGTATGGAGAAGGAAAGGAACTGCTCATGATCCTAAGCATACCACCTCATCAGTGAAGCATGGTGGTGGTAGTGTCATGGCGTGGGCATGTATGGCTGCCAATGGAACTGCTTCTCTCTTGTATTTATTGATGATGTGACTGCTGACAAAAGCAGCAGGATGAATTCTGAAGTGTTTCGGGCAATATTATCTGCTCATATTCAGCCAAATGCTTCAGAACTCATTGGACGCTTCACAGTGCAGATGGACAATGACCCAAAGCAGACTGCAAAAGCAACCAAAGAGTTTTTTAAGGGAAAGAAGTGGAATGTTACGCAATGGCCAAGTCAATCACCTGACCTGAATCCGATTGAGTATGCATTTCACTTGCTGAAGACAAAACTGAAGGAAAAATGCCCCAAGAACAAGCAGAAACTGAAGGACAGTTGCAGTGGAGGCCTGACAGAGCATCACCAGGGATGAAACCCAGCGTCTGGTGATGTCTATGCGTTCCACACTTCAGGCTGTAATTGACTGCAAAGGATTTGCAACCAAGTATTAAAAAGTGAAAGTTTGATTTATGATTATTATTCTGTCCCATTACTTTGGTCCCTTAACTAGTGGGAGGCACATATGCAAACTGCTGTAATTCCTACACTGTTCACCTGATTTGGATGTAAATACCCTCAAATTAAAGCTGACAGTCTGCAGTTAAAGCACATCTTGTTTGTTTCATTTCAAATCCATTGTGGTGGTGTATAGAGCCAAAAATGTTAGAATTGTGTCGATGTCCCAATATTTATGGACCTGACTGTACAAGTAATGCAGGAAGTTGTGGGAAGAGATGGCCAGCCAGGCAGCACTCACAACATCCAAATAATAAACACAAATACTCCTGCACTTCAGGGTGAACTCCATGTAGCTGTGGATCCATTATGGAGATTCTGGAAATTGCAGGCCTTTCTGCCCTCAAAGGACTGGGGGGAGTCCAAAACAGTAAATGCAAAGATAAGAGGGTGCACCGGCCTAGTGCATTACCTGATGATATTTGTTAATAAAAGTAGCAGATACTGATATACTCACAAGAGACAGTGCTAAAAAGGCTCATCATAAAGAGCAGTAATGTCTGGACCCTGGACCTCCAGTAGGCTAGCTCGTTTTGGGAACCTGCCCTGAGGAAGGGTCAAGTCCCTGAAACGCGTTAGTCTATTGGAAGTCCAGTGTCCGTGTCGGGTTTACCGTATCCGGAGGACCATACATTGCTGTTCTTTATAATGAGCCTTTTTACCATTGTCTCTTGTGAGTATATCACTATCTGCTACTTTTATCAATAAATGTCATTCGGTAATGCACTAGGCCGGTGCGTTCTCTGTTTTCTTTGCATTTAGCACTCACAACATGTTAGGAGATTCTAAAGAAAGCTTATGCAGTATTTTCCAAATTCACTATTCATTATGAATAAAACTACCTTTACTACTGCCTATAATATCTGAACAACATTCAATCAGAAGATAAAAAAGCCTAAGAACATTTGATTTTGCCCCATTCTCATAGCTTCTTGGTTTGCACTAAATGAATAGGTATATATATATATATATATTTTTTTTTATAAATATGCCCCTAAGTGTATAAATACCCAAGAATACCAAAATGAATATATTGCAGCTTATCTGTCCTTTACATCTGGTCATTGCATTAAAAGAGAAGTTTTTTTTTTCCCTCCCCGAATATTAATCTTAGGTGGATGCAGCATCGCTCTGATGCTGCATCTGTCCCTTGCCAACTCAGTGTGAGAACTCAGCGATCACATGATTGCTGAGTTCTCACCGCCGCTGTAAGCAGAGGGGGGTGACTGTCAGTCACCACTGTCTGCTCTGCCCCCTCTGGCAACAATATTGTCAACCTAAGGAGAGGGTAGTGTTTAGATAATTGATTTAGACTTTACAAGTCACTAACACATATAAAGCCAAACTCCAGCTAACACTTTTTCAATCATTTTTTATTTAGTTGTAGAATTGAAACACAATAACACATAAAAGCACCTAGTCTGCCCATGCAGGGGCTATGACTGGCACCATCTAATAGAACAAACATATACTGTGAGCACAATTATTAAGCAATTTGTATTTTTGAAGATTAATTTAATTATTGAACAACTACAGTGCTCTAGGTCAATCCGAAATGTTAAACCTCAAACCTGAATATTTAAGCAAAAGTGAGGTTTTTGGCTTTCTTAAGAGAATATTTGTGCTCACAATTATTGAGCAACTACTAGTGCGTAGAATTATTATGCAACTAAATGAAAAACAAACATTTTCCCATCTCACTTCTTTTTTTTTTTTCATCTGTTAAAGTGAGAATAAAAACCACTCAAAATTTACAAATGAACATTTCTGACATTAAAAAAAAAAAAAAAAAAATTGGGTCACCGATATAGTCACCCTTCCTTTCCAGAACATTCATAAGCCTTCCATTTATGGGGTCTGTCAGTTTCTAGATCTGTTGACTCATCTTTTTGTGCAGCAGCAACCACAGCCTTGCAGATCCTGTTCAGAGAGGTGTATTGTTTTCCTTCACCATTAAGCTCCTGTTTTAAGAAGGGCCCACAAGTTCTCAATAAGGTTTAGGTCAAGTGAGGAAGGGGCCATGTTATTACTCTTTAATCTTTAAGGCCTTTACTGGTTTTTCACGCCGTGGAGTACTTTGATACATGCGATGGAACATTGTCCTGCATAAATATCATGGTCTTCTTGAAAAATGCAGACTTTTTTCCTGTACCACTGCTTGAAGAAAGTGCCTTCTAAAAACTAGCAGTTGGGTTATTAGTTGATTTTGAGTCCATCTTAAACCCAAAAAGGTCCAACTAGCTCAGTTTTAATAATACCAGCTTATACCAGTACCCCACCTCCACCTTGCCAGCATCTGAGTCGAAGTGGAGCTCTGTGCCGGATACTGATCCAGCCACAGCCCATCCATCTCATCCGTCAAGAGTCACTCATCTCATAAGTTCATAAAAGGTTTGAAAAATCTGTTTACAGATATTTCTTGACCCATTCATGACATTTCAGCTTATGTGTCTTGTTCAGTGGTGCTCAGGTTTCAGCCTTCCCTACCTTGGCCATGTCTCTGAGCACTGAAAATCTTGTACTTTTCTGCACTCCAGGTAGGTTGCAGTTCTGGAATATGACAGCACTGGAGCATGGGTTACTGGTAGCTTCACGTTTAATTCTTCTCAAGTCTTTGGCAGTTAATTTTTTTCTTTTTTTTTTTTTTTTTTTTTCAACACATTTCTTGTGACCCTGTTGATTATTTGCAACAAAACGTTTAATAGTTCTGTGATCACACCCCAATATCTTAGCATTTTCAAGAGTGCTGGATCCCTCTGAAAGACTTTTTTTTTTTTTTTTTTTTTTTTTTTTTTTTTTTACAATTTTGGCCTGAGGAAAAGAAACTGCCTAATAATTATGCACACCTTGATATAATGTGTTGATCTCCTTACGCCACACCCCTTCCTCATTACACAAATGCACATCACCTGATATGCTTAAAATCCAATACCCATTCAAGTTTATACAGTTTGGAGTTGGACAATATGCATAAAAATGATGATTTGGTCAAAATAGTCACTTGCCTAATTGTGCACACAGTGTACACAGGATGGCTAAGGAGGCGGAACATCTTTCACAGACAATCACATTAAACCAAAGTGTAAAATACATAGGTTTTGGGGCAGACACCATGGTTAGCAAAGGCGGCCAGGACATATGAGCTAGCAGACCCCATTGTGAATAATCCTGGGTGTAAGTAAATCTGAGAAGGGCACAGAGACCCATCGAGGGAAGAAACGAGAATAGGGCAGAGTAGGGGAAAGGAGAAGTGGGTAAGATGAGGGACTCAGGATTGTCGGAGACACCAGTTAGAGCCAACCCACGCTTGTCGGGGGGGAAGGTCAAGGAAGGCATTCGCCAACCATTGTTCCCAAATTTTCAAAAATTTGGCATGTGAGTCATTAAGAATACTAGACGTTTGTTCATGAAGCATCATAACTGTCAGATGGTCTTTCACTCCCTGAAAAGGGACTGTAGGTTTCTTCTAGGCTGGGGCAGTCATCCTCTTGGCTCCTATGAACAGATTAGATACCAATTTTTGCTGATGAGTAAATAAACCTGGGATGAGGCAGTGCAGCAGGATAAATTTACCCTCCTTTCAGATATACAAATGGAACAGGGAATACAACAGACCAAAAACCTACCATTGGTGGATAGTCCTGGGCTCAAAGCCATAGGTTACATTTTCTGTGGGAGCCATAAGAGCATCTGTATAGAAAGGGGGACGCAATTAGGGAGCTCCCAGCTAATACTTTTTAAGCAGAAACAGATTTTCCTTTTCCTGTTTTGGGAATTTTAACTACATAAATACAAGCTGTCTGTAATAAATGGTTTGTCTAAGCAATCTAATGGTCATTGTTGATGGATAGGTTGGTTTGTTCAAGGAAGTTGAAAAATAAACTATCTGGCATGATTAACAGGTCATAAAACTGTTACGGAGGGCTAGTAGTAGTTGGTTGCATTCAATGGGATGGAAGATTCTTGAAGGTGTGTTGTAGCTTATCCAAGTCTCTTCTCCAGTTCTAATCAGTGTCAGGAACATACCCTTGCATTATATCCACACAGGTAGCAGTCACCTTAATCAAACCAATATAAAACATGTCAAGGTTTGTCCAAGAATACAATGGAAAGTTGTGGCATCGCCCTTTTCTAGCTACAGAATACAGTCCATGGTGTCAGGTCTCCATAGGTGTTAATCATACAAATGACATATCTAACTGATGTCGCTTGGCGAGATGTTAAAATGGAAATACATGTGGAACACAGATGATGCTGAAGGCCTACTCATGTTCAGGGATAGTGGTTTCAGTTTGATGTAGATGGCTGGTTTTACGTTGTTTGCAAACCAGTTATCCTCTTTTCAATATGTGAAATTTTCCACGTCCCCCATTACAGAAAAACAGGCTGTGGACAGACTGCATCATATGTTTTATTTTGCCTATACTTCCTCCTTTTAGCTGTCGTATTGTAGATGACCATAAGATTGTATGCATGCACTTCTGTACAAGATTTCAGAGAAATGTATAACAATGCTTATATATTATCTAACATGTTTTATTATTCTTGCTGTTTTTTTTAGTAAAATATGAGCGCATCAAATTTTTGGTAATTGCTTTAAAAAGTTCAGTGGAAGTCTATGCCTGGGCACCAAAGCCATACCACAAGTTTATGGCCTTTAAGGTGAGTAATTTGACTTCAATTTGTTGATAAATAGGAAAAGCCCCCCCCCCCCCCCCCCCCTCATCCCTCTTATGTAGCACCAGCATATGAAAAATTTGCCATAACATTTTTATGGTCATTTATACCCGACTTACTGGCAAGGTGATTCAACTTGTCTTTATAAATCTCGTGATCATCCAGTGATGATATATTCCTGCCAGAAGTCCAGGATTTCAGTCATTTCTGAGCCAAACTATGGTGTCCTTATTCTAAATGTATGCACAATACATAATTTACAAAAAAAGTAAATGTTAATCTCTGGTGCATGGCACTTTCATTATGAGATTGTGTGTCTGGATCTCTGCACTACAGTAGTGGCTGTGCTTCCTCCTAGCTGAACCTTCCCTGTTAACAATAAAGTTATTGCTAATCAGATGTATTTGTGGTCAGTATCTTGTACCTTGCTTTATCTAGATCAAGGTTTACAAAGCTTAACCACTCCAGCCCTTAGGGCATACCCATATGTCCCATGGAAATGGTTATACCAGGGTCATGGCTGCAGCCTCAGCCATGATCCTGGTATCTAAATTTGCAGGTAACAATGGGCTTTACTATAAAAGTACTTTTGAGCACCAACTGTTCACTTTTACAGGACATGGAAATTTTCTATAAAAAAATGCAGATTTTAACACGTATCAGAGAAATGTAAGACTTAAGCTGCCCTTATACTGATCAAAATTCAGCAAAGCCAACGGGGATTGGCCAAATTTTGCTCAGTTTTGTGGACTTCCCCATGTGGCAGAATGTATTTAGTCGACTTCTGTTGAAGGGACATATTGGATCTCTGGATTGCTTCCACCTGAATACTGACAGTCGGCTTGTCAGATTTACATGTTGGAGGAAAAATGTATTTATTTTTTTAGCTTACCAGTGGAAAATTTGTTCTTTGATTTAAAAAAAATCACTCGAAAGAAAGCCTTGATTGTCCCAAAAACACAGTTCCGTCACAATTTTGCTCAGGAAAAATTGATGAATACTCTTTTGAGTTGCATTACATTATCGCATCAAAAACATTGCTCAACCCCTTCTCTGCTATAAGTCCAAATGAGTCCTTTGTGCTCACAGCATGCATTAAAGCTTGGTAATAGTTCAAATGTTTAACATTGTAAACCAATGTGCTTTCTTTCAGTCATTTGGAGATTTGGTACACAGGCCACTGTTAGTTGATTTAACAGTTGAAGAAGGACAGCGGTTGAAAGTGATCTATGGTTCCTGTGCTGGGTTTCATGCTGTGGATGTGGACTCGGGAGCAGTCTATGACATCTATCTACCGACGCATGTAAGGAGTGTTACAGTGTAATAAAGGAAAATGATGTTGCGCTTCCATACACAGTACCTAAATACACTCAAATGGCATGATTAATGCATGAATATTAAATCTCAAATTCTAATATAAGAAATATACACATCAAAAAAGGACAATATCGTGTGATATTCAAAAATATATAAAGGAGAAATAAACATTAAACACTGAAGAAAATGGTGAGACAATGTACAAGTGTCCCTTAAAAAAGGGGGAAAAAGTTACATAAATCACAAATAAAGTGATAAATGGCATAAATTATGCCTGCAAAAGTGCCGTGACAAAAGACTCCCAACTGGCGTGAATAATATCTATAGAAATATACGGTGAGACAGTCAGCATAAGGTAAATATAGACATGTTTTGTTATTAAAAAAACAAAAACCCTAAGCTTTAGTATCACTTTAAGTACCTCTTAAAGCGAGCACACAAACAAGGACAATTGACATGCAGGTCCTGTTATACAGTAGTTTCTAGATTGAGCATAGGTCTGTTTTGGCTGCAGTATGTCCACCATTAAACCTTGTTGTGATTTTGTTCTAGATCCAGAGCAGTATCCAGCCACATGCTATCATCATCCTCCCAAATACAGATGGCATGGAGTTACTAGTTTGTTATGAAGATGAAGGAGTTTATGTCAATACATATGGCAGGATCACCAAAGATGTGGTTCTTCAATGGGGAGAAATGCCTACATCAGTTGGTAGGTTTCATTTAGGGTTCTATTCAAACCATGTTTTTTCTTTTGCCTAAACATTTCTGCCTTTTTGATTTTTTTTTGTTTTTCAGTAATTACAGTTCGGTCCATATATATTTGGAAACACACACTTTTCATACTTCTAGACTTTTAGCTTTAATTCAAGGGGTTGAACATTATTATTATACAGTATTTATAAAGCGCCAATAGTTTGCTCAGCGCTGTACATTACAATGGGGGACAGAACAACAACAATACAATGCAAAACATGAGGGGATCAAGGGCCCTGCTCTTTCAAGCTTACAATCTAGGAACATAAATATCAAGTACAAATTTTAGGAGCTGGAACCATTTTTTATACACAGTCCCTCCATTTTCAGGGGCTCAAATGTAATTGGACAAATGAATATAATCAGAAATGTTCATTTTTAATATTTTAAGAATCCTCTACTGGCAATGACTGCCAAAAGTCTGGAATCCATGGACATCACCGAAGACTGGGTTTCCTCCTTTCTGATGCTTTCCAGGCTCTAACTGCAGATGCTTTCAGTTGTTCTTTGTAGGTCTTTCTGCCTTTTTAGTTTTGCCTTCAGCAAGTGAAATGCATGCTCAATTGGGTTGAGATCGGGTGATTGACTCGGCCATTGCAGAATATTCCACTTCTTTTCCTTCAAAAGCTCCCGGGTTGCTTTTGCAGTGTGTTTTGGATCATTGTCCAATCTGTAGCATGAAGCGCCGTCCAATCAACTTTGCTGCATTTCGCTGTATCTGGACTGAGAGTATATCTCTAAACTGCAGAATTCATGCAGCTGCTTCTGTCACATCATCATTAAACACCAATTACCCAATCCCACTGGAAGCCATGCATGCTTATGGCATCACACTGCCTTCACTATGTTTTACAGATGACGTCATGTACTTTGGATCCTTCTCCACACTTTTTTTCTTCTCGTCATTCTGGTACAGATTCATTTTAGTGTCATCCGTCCATAGAATGCTTTTCCAGAACTGGTCTGGCTTTTTTAGATGGTTATTGGCAAAGTCTAATCTGGCTCTTCTATTCTTCAGGCTTATGAATGGTTCGCACCTTGTGGTGAACCCTCTGTATTTGCTCTCGTGAAATCTTCTCTTGATTGTAGACTTTGACAATGATACGCCCAACTCCTGGAGAGTGTCCTTCACTTGTCTGGATGTTGTGAATGGGTTTTTCTTTACCATATAGAGGATCCTGTGATCATCCATCACTGTTGTCCTCCATGGAGGTCCATGCCTTTTTATGTTGCTGAGCTCACCAGTGCGTTTTTTTTTCCTCAGCATGTACCAAACTGTTGATTTGGCCGCTCCTAATGTTGCTGCTATCTCTCTGATGGATTTGTTTAATTTTTGAAGCCTTACAATGGCCTGTTTCACTTCTATGGACAGCTCCTTTGAATGCATGATGTAGGTTCACAGCAAGAGATTCCAAATGCAAATACACACTTAGAATCAACTCCAGACCTTCTACCTGCTTAATTGATGAAGAAATAATGGAGTAGCCCACACCTGGCCATGAAACCGCTTTTGATTCAATTGTCCAAATACTTTTGGTTCCTTGAAAAATGGGGGGATGGCTACTGTTAAGAGCTGTAATTTCTAAACCTTTCCTCCAATTAAACCTGAGAGCGTGTACTTTCAGCCCATATCCATTACATAACTATAGCTTGAATATGTTCTGGTAAATACAAATATATTTGGACTTAAGTGTACATTTACTTATTTCTTTATTGTTTTGGGTGTAGATGACCCTGATTCCTATGGTTTTTCATGTTTCTTTTATGTTTCTTTATAGCTTATATCCGATCTAACCAGATAATGGGATGGGGCGAGAAAGCCATTGAAATTCGATCTGTAGAAACTGGCCACCTTGATGGAGTATTTATGCATAAAAGGGCACAAAGACTAAAATTTCTGTGTGAAAGAAATGATAAGGTAAAGATATGTAGGACAATATCCCCCCCCTCCTCTCTCTTCTCTCCCCCCCTCTCTCTCTCCTCTCTCTCCCCCCCCCCCCCTCTTCTCTTCTCTCCCCCCCCCCCCTCTTCTCTTCTCTCCCCCCCCCCTCTTCTCTTTCTCTCTCTCTTCTTTTCTCCCCCCCCTTCTCTCTTTTCTCCCCCCCCTCTTCTCTTTTCTCTTTCTCTTTTCTCCCCCCCCCTCTTCTCTTTTCTCCCCCCCCTCTTCTCTTTTCTCCCCCCCCCTTCTCTTCTCTTCTCTCCCCCCCTTTTCCTCTCTTCTCTTCTTTTCCCCCCCCCTCTTTTCTCCCCCCCCTTCTCTTTTCTCCCCCCCCCCCCTCTTCTCTTCTCCCCCCCCCCCTTTTCCTCTTCTCTTCTTCTTCTCCCCCCCCCCTCTTCTCTCCCCCCCCCCCACTCTTCTCTCTCTCCCCCCCCTCTTCTCTTCTCCCCCCCCCCTCTCTCTTCCGTCCCCCCCCCCCCTTCTCGAACGAACATTCATTGCCACAGTGCTATTGTTTTGTTTTCAACCAATTTCTGTCTGTAATTATTATTCTTGTTTATAATGCCTAATCTATCAGTCTTCATGTGTGGAATGTGTATGTATCATCTGCCTAATGCAGGAACCATGTGCCTAATTCTTTCCATTGTTTCATCACTCAGGTTTTCTTTGCTTCCGTACGGTCTGGTGGAAGCAGTCAAGTGTATTTCATGACCCTTGGCAGAAGTTCTCTTCTGAGCTGGTAATGCGTGGATCTGCTGATACCTCCCCTACAGTCTTCATAATCTCCGTAACTTGAAATCATTTACAACTGGAGTACAACCTGCGCACTGATGTTGATATATTTGTTCAAGATGGAGTTTTCATTCATTTAGTGGATCTTTTTTTGTTTCTAACTTAGGGGAGAAGATGACAGAACTTTATTGCAGCTTGCAAAAGGCAGCTGAGGCTGTAACTCCTGTGTCGGGTGCTGTAAACATCTGAGATTTGACAGGAACAGCAAGCTTTTACTAACTTTTAGACACTTCCTGTTACTTAAATTAACTTCTACATGAGAAGTACAAATATCAAACCACACTAAAAGCACCCTGTCAGCATGAAAAATGGAGTTTCTAACACGAGAGGGCAGACCAGGAGAGCATAACAAGCGTTGATGATGCACAGCCAGACTTACTAATATTTCAGTTATTTAATTTAGTGGGATTTTTTTTTTTTTTATTTTGTTTGTTGATTCTGACAAAGGAAAGTTCATATAATAAAATGTATTTATAAAATGTGAAGGGCAGCAGCTAATGTTTTATTTTTCACCTGCACAAAGTTTTTGGGCCAATGTTGTGCATTGCTGAACTTTGCCTAAGTCCATGCAAATCATTCTTTTTGACTTTCTTGACTTGTATATCCCTACAGAATGTGTCACAGTATTAGCGCTGCCTCGTCCATTACTTTTTAATATTATTTCCTAGATATCTGCAGTTAATGTGCACGCAGTGTATCAACCTAAACTTGTACTGTAGAAAGGGAACAAAACAGGGTTGCGGAGTTGGATGTTACAGGCAAATTCCAATCAGCTTATTATTTCTCCTACCTCATTTTGGGCGATGCACAAACCCCTTTGGTGCCATGACACCTGCAGCATCTTTGCAGACATCCTGGACACTCAAGGGCTTGACAAAGAGGTTGTCTCATTTATCTTTATACCGTTAATGGCGTATAACGTGAATGTGTAATTTAATACCAAATTTGTGCCAGATTGATCTCTTTGGCTGAGTTCGTCCAAGCTGACACGATGGCACAAAATTGCTCCACGGCAGTGACAATACACGGATTAGGTCCATTTGGCTTTCATAGGGATTTTTTTTTTTTTTCCAGTTGAAATTCACCTTCCGTTTCACATTTATGTTTGATCCAAGACAGTAAGGTTTCACTTTTTTGTGAAATGCAGATATAGCATCATGGGAGGTCGGTGTTTTAGGCTAGTTATCTGAATTGTATAATGTAGGACAGTAGGAGGGGCACGGGAGGGGCGGGCTTGTTCATGAAGGGGAGCGACATATTCCTTTTTGTAAGAATGCAATGCACTAAAACAATTCTACGAATGTAGTTAATAATGCTTATTCATAACTGACATGCTGTTCCTGTGTTTAGATGTGAGATTCCCGGTTCAGACTTTTTTATTGAAAATATAAAAGTCGGCTTTATTTTCTGAGCATTTTGACATTTGTAATAAATGTCTGGACAGGAATAACTTGTTCATTGGCTACCCATTCTTTACTCGAGGTTCCTGGAGTGTACAGTCGTGGTTGATGTAGCAATGCACAGTGTCATTATCATTCAACCCTGTTAAGACTTTTTTTTTTTTTTTTTTTCCCGGTGTGGGGTACATTGTTGACAGCTGCCTTAAGCTGTTCATTTGTGAACAGTTTCTCTTTCTAATATAGACTACTCTTCCTTTGTTTCTGCCATTGTATGAAACATTTTTTAATTTTTTTTTTTACCTTTGCTCTCTAGTGCACAGTCTGGGTAACGAGCCAGCTTACATTCATGCTGGTTCTGACTTGCGCAATGATATCGACGTGAGCTGGGCAGATGAAAGAACTTTTCTTAATGGAATAGTTCTCAGTGTGAGCGTTAATCTGCTGCCACCCCTTACATACATACTCATTTCCATGACATGGAAGCCTTATAACTAATGGCAGAAACATATGTTTGGAATTTGTTTTGTTTTTTTTTTTTTTTGTTTTTTTTTCTTTCCCAGTAGCACTGAAAAGTGATTCTAATGTGTACATTTAGTTCCATTTTGTTGTAAAGGGCAGTGGACACTTAAAGTGAAGTTGAAAGCCGAGTGTAGTCTAAATAACCAGTACTAATCTTGGGTTCTGTTTGGCACTTTGGCTTGTGGGAGTGTGTTCCATGGGTCTGTAGGGTTGTGTTCATGGGTTTCACCATTGTGCTTGCCTCTTGATTGCTTGTGTACTTTGCACCTCCTAAGCATAGTCTGCTGGTGTCCACCATAGAGAAACTCAAATGAATGACTTAGATTTTGATTGCTCACTGAGACACGTGCAAGGTAAATACTGTAATCACCATAATGTCAGTGAGTGATATTTTATCAAACAGGAAAATCGTCTATGTAGTTGGTGCTCATGTACAGCCAGTGCAGTAGTCACAAAGCACAAGGGTGGCACAGTTGAGGGTTCTTGTGAGTGCATTCTCCCAATGGTCATGTAATTCAGCATTTTTATTGCTGATGTTAATCTAGTCCTGTTCTTAAATACTGATGAAGCCAATTGCCTAGAAAAGACTACCCTACAGAAATGTTCTTGGTTAGAACTGCTGGAAGTTCATATATAATATTTTTTAACAGATTGCTCTGGAGTCCCCAAACACTGGTGTCTTCACTGTTTTTCTTCTTCCAGCAAACATTATGTCCTACTGCAATTTTGTAATTTAAAACCAGTATTAACAGCAAAAACCACTATGTGATGAACATGGACTATATCTTTAATAACAAAAAGCAGAATACAGTTGCTCCTTGGTTTAGTTAATGCATAAGAAATAATATTCTTGTATGAATTACTGAAACTGTATGACTGCAGTGTTGCTTCCCTTTTTCTGTTTTATGCACATGTTACATTGGAGAAAATGTTTACATTTTTGTTAAACTAATGTGCATCACTTATTTATGTTTTTTTAAGTGAATTTTTGCATAATTTTAGTAATTCACATTTTGTGACCTATAACCTCAAACTTTTCTGATTAATAATAGTGCGAAAAGATAACCGTGACAAACTGCATACAATTACTAATTGTTGAACTGCAAAGCAGACTGGTGTCAAGTAAACATTCTCAGACATTTTGCAGTGCTATCTAACTTATGTCTACTGTGTTTCATGGAAATTCCTATTTTCCCCATTTTTCCTTAAATAAAATAAAAATTACACCTATGGTTATGTGGACTACATTTTTTGAGATGGGAACAACATTTTATAAGCCTTTTATATTGCACATTTGTAAGTTTTTAAAGCATTTTGTAAATTTTGATGGCTTGAAAGTTCACTACTGCTGACCAGTAGTGGGGGGTTATGTTTATAAAATATACTGCACTCACTGAATTGGAACCTCTTTTCAGACATAGTCACACACTGCACATTTATTGCATGGTCTTCATGCACCATCCTTTGAGAATTCCCCACACAGATATACTGACTAATGTAATGTACACAATCAAAGAATAGCCTAATACATGGGGTCTCCAAACTTTATAAACGAAGGGACAAACTTTCGACTTTAGGGTGGCTAGACTGTGGTCAGTGGGAAAAGAACATGTCCTGGCATCAGTGGAGTAAACTATGCCTCATCATTGATATTAACGGGAGATATAGTGCCCTATTACTGGTATTAGTGGGAGGAATAGTTTCCCATTGCTGGTGTCAGTGGGAGGAATAGTGTCCCGTTGTTGGTGTCAGTTGTAGGAATAGTGCCCCATCATTGGTGTCAGTGGGAGGAATAGGGCCCCATCATTGGTGTCAGTGGGAGGAATAGTGACCCATCATTGGTGTCAGTGGGAGGAATAGTGACCCATCATTGGTGTCAGTGGGAGGAATAGTGACCCATCATTGGTGTCAGTGGGAGGAATAGTGACCCATCATTGGTGACATCACTTCCTCAGGTACAGACAGGAAGTAAGAAGTAGAGAGAAGACATTGCTGAAAGTGGCAGCAGAGGAGATGGAGGAAAAAGTCTGAAAGGAGCCAAGAGACCCCCTAGTGGGACGAGGGATAACTCCATCTATCCATCCATACTGAGGAAAAGAATCTTTTTACGGCGAGACCCCCTGCTGGAAAAAAGGAAAAAACTCCATCCATCCATCTGGGATACAGGGATCTATCCATATGTCCAAATCTGAGCCCAATTAAAGGGACACAAGCTTGTATGACCTCACTTAACGGTTTGTTCCTATACATCAGGTGAGAGCACAACTGGTGAAGGAGCACAGTATACATACAGTGAGGAACAGAAGTATTTGAACACCCTGCAATTTTGCAAGTTCTCCCACTTAGAAATCATGGAGGGGTCTGAAATTCACATTGTAGGTGCAATCCCACTCAGACCCACTCAATCCCACTGGGATTGCACCTACAATGTGAATTTCAGACCCGTCCATGATTTTCTAAGTGGGAGAACTTGCAAAATTGCAGGGTGTTCAAATACTTCTGTTCCTCACTGTATATACATTTGGTGGACTATATTTTATTTATTTTTCAATATACTATAGAAGAGACCATAGGCTCACGGGTTGTTTTTGAGAATTCCTTCTGAGAACTTGATATGTGAAGATATGCTTGCAGCACCAGCGTTATTGTTAATAACACATTATGGAAATATATTAACTCTGTTTATTGTTTTGCGCCAATTGATTTGTGTGTATATTGTTAGTGGAGCGCGACACATAAGTGTTTTTTTAATTTGATAGACACATTGGTATTGGTATGTGTATAGTGTAGGCAACCCACTGATTCAATTGATAGATTTATTAGTTTAGTCACTTAATATTTTTAATTTAAATTACCCACCTAATTAAATTTATCAGTTAATTTAAATACACGGTAGTAGCTCACAAGAATCCCATTTATAAATGATTTTTTAAAATTTCTTATAGAAAACCCTTTGTTAAAAAGCTTAATTTTTAATAGAAAAAAAAGTAATTGCAAGGAACTAGGAGTCTTCTTAAAACAGGAAGTATTTA